CTGAAAAGTAACTTGCACCCCCCCTTAACTTTTCAACCATTTGAGATATTTGAAATTAGTTTGTGGCAACCTTCTTAGATATGAGGGGCTACAATAATTATGGTCAATTTTGAAAATTTTGCCCTTAGGGGTAGTGGGGGTAGGGGTAGCTCAAAATTTTCAAATGACAATTATAGTCGAGTTTGATATCATTTTACAGGTCTTGGCAAAACATAAACATTGACATAAAGAAAACCAAAATCAGCTCACTAATAACAAAATGGCGCCCTAAAACGTTTCAAATCCAAATAACCATGAGGGTGGCAAAAAAATTAACTTATACCCTCTTTAACTTTTTAACTATTCGAGATATTTGAAATCGGTTTGCGGCAACTTGTTTGGATATGAAGGGCGACAATAATTATGGTAACTTTTGAAAATTTTGACCTTAGGGGTAGCGGGAGTAGGGGGTAGCTCAAAATGTTCAAACAGCAAGTATAGTCGAGTTTGGTATCATATTGTAGGTCTTGACAAAACATAACAATTAACATAAAGAAAATAGAAATCGGACCATTAATAACAAAATAGCAGTTCAAAATTATTTTAAATACATTTGTCTCAATCATTTTTAGCTGCCATTTTGTTATTAATGGTCCGATTTCTATTTTCTTTATGTTAATTGTTTATGTTTTTTCAAGACCTACAAAATGATACCAAACTTGACTATACTTGCTGTTTGAAAATTTTGAGCTACCCCCTACCCTCGCTACCCCTAAGGGCAAGATTTTCAAAACTTAGCATAATTATTGTCGCCCTTCATATCCAAACAAGTTGCCGCAAACCGATTTCAAATATCTCGAATAGTTAAAAAGTTAAATAGGGTGCAAGTTAATTTTTCTGCCACCCTCACGGTTATTTGGATTTGACACGTTTTAGGGCGCCATTTTGTTATTAGTGAGTCGATTTTGGTTTTCTTTATGTCAATGTTTATGTTTCGTCAAGACCTGTAAAATGATACCAAACTTGACTATACTTGTCATTTGAAAATTTTGAGCTACCCCCTACCCCCACTACCCCTAAGGGGTAAGATATCCATCTCTTTGAAAAAAGTCGCCTCCTCTCCACTGCCCTGTTAGGGGGGTTAAAAAATATTTTTTGTGTAAAAAATTACGAAATCTTTGTAAACAATGAACGCCACAAACAGAATATTTCTATATATTTCAGTTAAAAAAATAGAGATTTGTTTCAAGACTTTACACCCTGTATATACATATGAAGAATATAAAGAAACATATAATGCAATTTGAACGAATAATGTTTTTAACCTCTGGAGACATCAAAATGAAAAAGTAAACCGATCCCGGGGCTGTAGGGAAATTAGCTAACAAGTGTCAATCACCCATTGGGTAGTGGATAATAGTAGTGACTGATTATTTGCTTTTTGCAATTAATTGTTTATTGTTGGAAATGATAATAAATTAATGGGTTTGGCATATTGTTGAGTTATACAAATTATTGGCTTTCATTTTTTACTACTCCTTTAATCTCTATAATCGCCAAACCAAGAAGCGTGGGGTTCTTATCAATTAATTACACAAATTAAACTATTAAATTATAATTTAATAGTTTAAATTATAAATAATTATAGTTTAAATTATATAACTGATCTTATGTAGAGAAAATGTAGTTTATAACTATCAACAGTTAGCCACCTTTATCAACTACTAAACCAATCAAAAGATTGTAAATTAAAATGCACATTTGAATTTAGGTATTTATTTCTATACCAAGAATTATTTTTTTGGCTAATTTACGATGTTATTAAATATTTTCTTCCACGATTAAACATTTTTTAAATTCATTTATGGGGTTTTAACGGTTATTTTCCTTTGATTTTATTACTGGGTTACGCGTGTTAAAATGTAATAAGCTACATTGTTTAGTTTCAAAAAATAAAATATACCTATTAAATTAACGCAATTAAAGTAATCTTATTAACTAAAACCAGCTTTCCTGATCGCAGGAACTTTACTCTAATATTTATACATTCGTTTTTTACATACTATACACACCATGATATAAAATGATGAATGAATGAAACATTCTTTACTTTTATAACATTCGTTAAAATAAATGTCAATACAAAGTTGGAAATGATGATTTGACGAAGATCAAATCGACTTAACTCAAATAAGAGTATGTGGTTAAACCTAATCCAGATTTAGTAGTATGCTGAAATAGTGCTTGTGTGAGAGATAGACTGTATGTGCTTGTGTGTGTTTGTGGTGTTGGAGAGAGGAAGAGAGATGTACGCGCACTTCTCGCCAGATGCTTGTGGATGATCGAAACTAAATCTGACAGGCTAGCTGCTTTTTATAGTCTGCAAAGGCTAGAACTAACGTATCTGGACGCGCTCTTATATCTTTGAAGGTGGGTTTGAAAATTGATTGGACTCGTGGTTTCTAATTTTTATGAAAAAAGATTGTAAAGAAAAAATATAATGTGTTGAAACAGTGTCATCAAACTCATTAAATGCTCACTGTCAAGATGCAGAAGATGTTTTTTATAACTGAACATCAGTTGTGTAGACCTATTGAATGGTATTAATTTTTTAACAGGGTTTTGTAATGACTATTAGCATTGACTATACACACAATAGACTTGCCACGTGATATCAAAATTTGAGGCCAAGAAAATAGATGAAGTTCAGGACCATCTCACCAGAGTTTACTAGTGTATTGGGTTGAATATTAATTAAAACCAATGCAGTATCATAGCAAACAGCTGATTGATTTATCACTTAACACAGAATATTGTCATCAGTTGGTGACCATCTCAACAGATGGCACCACGTTTTTTGGCTTCAAATTTTTACATTACATGGGAAGTCTATTCTGTATATAGTCAATGTTAATACTAATTATGATAGTAAAACTTAGACACTACAATGGGCACAGGGGTACACTAGAAACCCCAATGAACACAGTACTGGTAACACAAAACAAGCATGCGCGGGGGGTCTGCCAGACCCAGGGTGGTGATAACAGGTCAATGACTCGGTCAAGACTAACAACCCTGCGGCCAGATGATAGCATATGCTATTTAGGCAGCTACTATTATGCTCACCAGGGTTCCCACCATAGGTACTCGTAAAATTATGAAAAAAATACCATACGTGGAAGTATGTCACACTCCCACGTTTGGGTTAATAATTAAAAAAAAAACATTATTTATAACAACAGAGAATCACTCATGCCATACATAGATGCAAGCTGGTCATTTGTGATTGTTTGCATTTATGTTTTTATCACTTAATTTGTTGCAATGATTTCATGTTTGTTTGCCAGCTATAGCTGAAAGTGTGTACTAATATAATAATCATGCTATACTCTAGATGTCACCCCAGGAACGGATTTAATTCCAATGCCAAAAACAAGAAAACTCTTTTCTCTTTTACTATTGCAACTCAAAATTTCAACAATCAAAATATAATCTATAGTTATCGTCTATGTCTATATTATTGATTTTTTATAGTACGTTTATGCTAGTAAGTAGTAACATCTAAGAAGTTTATACTGTACTAATACTGTATAACAATTAACAAAGGTCATAAACAGGGAAAATCAGATTCTCGTAAATTGTGACCAATGAAGATTCTTTTATATGGAAAAAATACACTTTTTACTACGAGTGCCCATTTCCGCACACTATCCTCACTCATTGCATTATGGACATCACCTTCAGTCATCTGGCAATGAATCTCGGCATCGGATGTGTTTCTTGTGATAAAGAACATATCCCTGACCTTACCTCGGACACGGCGGGAGATTTTATTGTTAGAAATATTTTTAAAACACACAGCCACGACAGCGAACAGAGCTGAAATTTGTGTCATTCTGTTCACAAATGATGCCAGTAAACAGTGGCGGGCTTACCTACAGCCCCGCCCCTAGACCTGTTCGGCCAACCGCCCCTTTGTGTTTCGGGAAAAAGGAAAGGTTTCAACGTAAAAGCGATATTAAATTTCCCGTTGTTGGCACGCTTATTAATACATTTTTCCAAGAAAGACATAGTAGTTACACTATGAGTACCTACATTAATACATAAATCCCAAAGTATCCATGAACTTTTGAGAAAACTACAAGTCACACCCCTATAAACCATATACTGTACTTAAAACCTTGCTCAAAACTATCCATTATTTCATAAATTGCCCTTTAAGGTTGTAATTTCTTTCTAAAGGGAACTTTCCACATACCGGTACCTAATGTTAAAAATACCTCAGCTGTACTTATTTGTATGTTATTCTTTCAATTTATTACCTTATTAAAATCAGGTGTGATTATTTGTTTGTATTACTATTACTGTATTCTGTTTTGTTTATTTCAGCTTAACCAATCAATAGTAAGGGGGTTCTTATAATAATGTGTCATATAATAATGATATTAATAATAAAGAACTATATTTAATGTTGTTTATTAAGAAACGATTTTCCTTTGACAGTTTGCGAAATGCTGCACCGCTTAACTTTTCTTGTTTTTTCACTTATTCCTATTTTTTTCCTCATGTATATTTACAAAACTAATATGGCGAGCAGTTACAACAAAATTTAGTTTTTTTTCATCTAAATTAAATAAATAGGGCCTGTTATTAATACATTTCACATTTTAGATGAAATAAAATAAACATATGTATTGTTCTGCTAAAACTAAAATAATTTATGACTGATTTAACAAGTTCCCTGTATCATTATGAAAAAGTAATAAGATGGGCCTATTTTATATTGTGATTTAATTATGAGTAGGCCTACTTTAATCAAGAATTAATAAAATAGTCAAAATTACGAACAATTGCTTAATTGCTTTATTGACTAACCAACATTTTCACAGGTGGTTAACAACTCATGCAACTCTGCAACTGAAGAAACAACAATCATAATCATAGTTAATCATTTGTGCATATCTCAGTGATACCAAATAAAAACAAAAAGGCAATAATAGAATGTAAGCAGATTTCAGTCTATGACAGCTTTTATTTCTAAACCTAATCAATGTATAAAATTTTATGAAGTTTTACATCACACAATGTTACATATAGGCAATATGTTACATGTACACACAGTTATGTACACTGTAGTTATCGTCCCATTTAGGGTGGTCAGTTACAAATTTGTCAACTCAGTCCCAAAACATGTTTTCAACATTCAGTCTTGGGCACAACTCGTAGACCATGTCCTCTTCCTGCTCCATAGGTAATATATTATATTGCATATGGATGTAACATGTATGCAAAACCTTCATTCCTTTATCTTGAAGTTTGTCTTTGTCAGGTATAATGGGCACAGATCATTTGGTATTTTTCAGACCACCTGTAAGTATAAAATTTGAAAAAATATGTTATTTCAAGAAAAATAAATTATATATAACTAACTACCCTACCCGTAAGGTTTTAAATTGAAGATTAAATTTAAATTAAAAGTATATTAGACCATTATTATTAAACCATTAATAATTTTACCATTGTATATTTTAAAGAGTAAAATTTAATTTAGTGGCTGGTTAAAAAAAAAATAATAAAAAAACGTCACAGCAAGCAATCAGCACTACTACACCATTAACAAAGTAGTATCAAACTATTAGATGTAGATTATAGACAGAGAATGAGTTAAATAGAAGTGTCAGAGAGACTAATTAAATAATACAAAGGATATCATTGGAACTAAGGTAGTGTTTGTAAACACATTCGGTTTACTGTCCCTTAGTTCAATTAGTTAAGTCAAATACTTACGTATTACATGATATATATTAAATCTCACCTAAGGGGGATATGAAGTCAACGGTTGAAGTAGTAGTACAGAGAATAACCTTTGATAACCAAATATAGCACCAAGATTGCTGCTATAAGTAGATTGACTGATCCAAGAACTGGTCTGAATGGCAGCCAGGCAAACGCCATGACAGTGAAGAAGGTGGCTGCAGAAAGAATCTGGCAAAGGAACGCCTTGTTGTTGTGAACGAACGCTTGCAATAGCCGACTCTGTCTACCTGCAAAAGATCAAACCATTATGTCAAAATCTAATGTAAAACAAGTGATACATTGTATCCTTTCTTGACGTTATGGAACAATATACATAGAGCCAAGTGAGTTAGTACATAGCAAAAAAAAGCTCTAAAAATCAATTTTGATAGTCCTGGCTGTGGCAATCGCAAACCTTTTTTATAGAGAAAATGTTTAACACTTCACTCTATATTAATTTAGTAAGACATTTTAATACAACAAAACATAAATAATAATTATTTTACTTGAGACATTATACATAGTCATCAAACCTGAGGTTCTTAAAAGAGTAGAATGCTTCTCCAGCTGGATATATTAAATTATTATCAGCAGATAAAGTTTTATAACAAATTGCCTGTTAATGACCGCGAGTTACATATGAAATGCTTGAAATCTCGCTTGACATGGTTGCTAATCAATAGAGCATTTTACTCCACAACACAATTTTTAAATAATGACTTTTCTGGATTGTTTGAATAAAATTGAATTTAAGCAAAGCCTTTTTTCTATACAATTTCTACCCATTGAACTTCCTTCTTAAATTTTAATTCTATTTATTAATGTGCTGCACAAAAAAATGTTTTCTCAGTAATTTCTTTCCAGATTATATTTGTACAGTAAAGTATCATTTTAATGATTCTGGATGGGAGGGTAATCTGGAAGAATTACGATAAAGTTTGGACCTACCTACGATGAAGCTGAGAGTAGAGTAGCCGCAATATATGCCAAAATATACTGAGATTCGGATCAACCAAACACCTGATGATGGAAACTTGATGGCCAGGATATCCGAGAGAGGAAGTTCACCTTCCACAACTACTGTCAGATCTTCGCCGGCTGCAACGAAGGGCCGTAGAGTGGAGCCATCTTGTTCAGCCAGAATTGTGATCTTGAAAATAAATTAGGTATGAGAACATTTAGCACACACTGTACATTACTACTTTCACTAGTGTAGTATCATGTGGGATGCAATGCCGATTAGTGCTAGTAAACTAGGTTTATTTTACATCAAACCAGAAAAACTGGATGGACAGGCAACAAAATGTAAAGACTACTTAGAAAACTTAAAAACTACTTCAGTACAGCACAATCCCGACTAACCGAGGTTGTTGGGACCGAGACTACCTCGGTTACCGAGAATCTCCAGTAAAACAGAGGTGTCTTCGATTTTTATCTTAGGGGTTACGGTACCACATTAGGAAGTAAAAGACTTTTAAAGTATAAGTTTTAATAACAATGCATAGTGAATACAAATGTATCAATAATTGGTAGGCCTATTTTAATGGAAAATGTATTTAAATAAGTCAATGTTATTAAGTAAAACAATAACTCAAACATGCTTAATACTTCTTAAATTGTCTTGGAAAACTTTATATAATACAGTATTAATGATAACAAGCCAATACTCTACAGGATTAAATAAAAACACAATAAGGTGGACCACTACAGTTTTTAAAGGAGCGCTCCCCTACATTATCGGATATAATTTCTACGTTAAAGTTCAAATAATTCACAGTATTATTTTAAGAAATCACAAATTACATGCTATTTTTACTTTACTTTAAACAGAAATATTCATAAAAAAACCTTATTATTGTTCTCCAACCAGAAATAAAAATACCTCCGCCACAGCAAACCTGCAGACTAAGCGAATTCCCATTTGCCTGATTTGATTTTCAATTTAATCTATTTCAATAACATTAGGTTTAACGAGTACTTAGGTTTGCTGCTACAGGGAGGGTATTAAGGGTATTTTTTAGTAAAAAATTAATAGCTGAGTATAAAATAAATATATTTGCCAAGTTTGATAAAAATATATCCATAAACAAGCAAACTACAACAGTTTACTTATTCACCATAAGAATAACATAACAATTTTAAATTTACAATTTTTTAAATTTTCTCTGTAACTAATAACCATACAAAAACAGTTCAATGTACTAAATTATTTGTTTTTTAAAGCTCTTCAAAATGGCCAAGAGAGAAATTAGGAAATTTTATGTTTTGAGGGTCGAAAATGAGAAAAACCTATTTTTACCCCATAAAACCCCCTGTAAAACCCTATTCCCATGGTTCGATCATTCTGGTTTGCGAACTCGTTTCAATAAACGTAGGTTTACACGTTTGTAAGAAATTTCATCAAAATCAGATAATTTTTGGTAGAGTTATCGTGCTAACTTTCACACACACACATATAGATATGAATTTGAACGGATGGTGTTTTTGGTCTCTGGGGACATCAAAACGAAAAAGTAAATCAGTCCCGGGACCAGGTCTTATCATGATAATAGCTTATTCCTGGTAAAAGACCTCGGATAACCCGGAGGCTCGGATAATTGAGAATGTACTGTACACATCTCATACAAAACTCAGTCAAAGACACGGAACGACTTTTGAAGATAAAATAGAAAAACATTTAAGCGGGCTGAATAAAAATGAACAAAGCTTTACAAGTTTATTGAGGGACAACACCTTGGCACACTCTGTACTCACCATACTGTCAGATGCTCCCGTATATGATAGCTGAACCCTCGTGTCTCCGACCTCTGGGTTCCACACATCAAAAGAATGATAGTAGAGACCTGAGTGCATTTTGATATCTCTTCGCTCAGGTCTTTGATCACTTGTGAGAAGTGTGTAGGTAGTAAAGTGGTCTTTAAGCTCGTCGCTGAGTGTGTAGCCTCCCACATGAACTATCTCGCTCACACTCACACTACTCTCCAATGGGAACGCTCTTCAAACATTAAAATTCTAAATTAGATTGGGACTATTTCACATTTTAAATTCTATTTAACATGGAATTATAATATTTCACAACACTTGCTAATAATAACACACTGCACATTGTTATAGAAAATGGTCACTGATAACATTTTCAACTGAGGAAGGTTTAAGTCAGAGGGAGGGTTCCTTGATTCAAAATGTTGTCAGTGATGGTGTAATATTCGAATTTTGTAAGTAGAGTCTGTTTTGTGTGTCTTGTGCAATATTGGACTCTTCAGGTAGGGAAAACCTGCCATCCTAAAAATATCCTATTTTTGGTACAGTAAAGCATAAATTAACTGTTTATTCTATGCTAGATTCCTTGTTATAATTTCCGGCAATGTTATTAAGTCCATTGTTAAGCCATTTGAAGGGCCCGTCATCCTTCCTGTCAATACAAAGATACATAATTTCAATCTGATTTATTTGTGTCATCAAACATTACAGTAAGATAATTTTAAGAGTTTGGTTAAGTGTGTGCATACATAACATGTTTTAAGTTCTATTTGTCTTTTTATCTTGAGAAAATTGTCTATTCACAGCAGGTGTATGTATTACTAAATGAAAGAATATACTGTATGTATTACAGTATGCCTACAGTACTAATGTTTACATGAAGAGTTTTAACTATGCAGCATTCCTTCTCAAGAATGTTGCTTACTGTGTGGTTAAAGCGAAGGACAATTTAGCAGATAACATAGTCAGGGAATTATGGAGGAAGTCTTTTGGAATACAAAAATTAACGGAAAATCTGAGTCGCCATGATTGTATACCGAGTTGTACCATGATAGTGACAGAAACGGTAAGAGTGGCTGATGAGAACCAGACAACAGTGTCCGCCTAACCCATTCACAGCTTTAGTATAGGAACTGCATGAGTAAAACTGCTTAGTCTGTTCTGCCGCACCTCTGTCCTTTTCTGCTCATTTTAATTTGATTCAAAATGTATATGTCCACTGCTATACAATGTATAAATAATACACAACTAGCCTATGTATGGCTTTCCTTTAGGCCTACTCCTTCACAACCTATGTTAGGGAGAAATCCCTTAGTTAATTTGGGGTTCACTTTTGATAACTTGTAAAAAACCCACTCCTGTTACTAAAGAGTACGTACACTGCTAGTCATGTCCCTATTCATTGATTGTCTATACTACTATTTAGATACTAATAAATGGGGTCCGTCTTTATACATTAAATACTTACTTAGGATTTGCATGACCAAAAGGTTTAGCGAATAATGTGCTGTCAACTAGTCGATCGCGCCAAGCAGTAGTGTACACTATGGGGTTGTAAGAGTCTGTATCATAGCCCCACCTGCAAAATAACGTAGGTCAATCACCTATGATAGATCCTCTGCTGGCATATAATATGCACCAGCAATGATTCCTTGATACTACTGATACAAATAGTTATGATGAATCAAGAATCAGAATCAGCCCCTTTCTATTCCAAGTTTAGCATGTTTTAAAATGTTCAAGGTTGGATGTTGCAGGATGCTGTTACAACTCCGGAAAGACAGCCAGAAGAAATACCATTCACGTGGAGAGGAAACTAAACCTTCTTGAGATGTTTGATTCAATATCCATAGTTGATGTTTGAAGATGAATAACTAGTGATGGACAAGACCCGAAACTTTGAGATTTTTTTATCTCGAAGCTTCGGGCGGGATTGAAATACAAACGGGATATTTTGGAGACGAGATTATGGGCCTAATTATGTATTTTTATTGAAGCTAACCATCCAGGTATAAAACTATAAACTGCAATTGGGAAATAAATTGTTCTAAAACCATTGTTTCTTTTACTATTCACTCCTTTTCCAACCTCAAAATTGTTGTTGTTTATCCTCTATCCTGTAATCTAAATATGAGTACTCTGAATGCAAGGCGTGCTCTGAGTGGTGATGGCGATTCGCGAAGGATTAGCTCAATTTGAACGAATCACAGGGAAATTCAAATGAATCATGGCTAAATTAAAAAAAAGAGCCGATTCTTACTTTGAATCAACTCTCAACTCAGTTGGAAATAAGGCCTCTTACTCAGTCTTCGCTATCTTATATAACCTTCTAAGAAATAGAGAAAAAATATAATAAAGACAACAGCTGCCTAAATGTTTTATACTCGTCTAGGGATGTGTCGAATCCGAATCTTGAATCCACCAAATCCTAAGAAAAGGTTTCAAATTCGAGATTCGATTAACGACATTCGAGAATCGAATCTCGGGTCCGCTGACAGAATACACCGACTCGCCGCAAGCTCTATAATAATGTGAAGCAGCAGTGTCGATCCACGCATAGCTGCAAAAAAGCCAAACTCGGTCTCAAAACTCATGGACATGGCTTAAATTACGTCCTAGTCTAATATAAATCGTATTTTAAATAGTGATAGGTCAATAACAGAATTGCTTGAGTCGATACCAGTTTTTAAATTAAATATTACTCACGACACTCGATACCGGTTCCATTAAAAACTCATATTTTAAGGAAGTTGCCATGGTCAATGTTTTGTTGTTTGTTTAAATTGAGAATCAGACAACCAGCGTAGTTCATGACGGCCCAAAATTATCGTTTGGTCTCAGTTATTTATCGTATCTAAGTCTGATAAGTAAATGGAATCAGGGAACCGCTCTTGCTTTTTACAAAACGAAATAGTCGTAGACTGAAAACATCCAAATGGAGGTAGTACTGGTGGTACGGCGTGGCAACTCTGCTAGAAAATCAAGACGCTGTAAAATGTTGTCATGTTGGTACCATTAGAAGAATCAACCAGCTCATTGGCTGTTGGCTTAAATTGCAATCAAACAATCCCCTAGTTCCAAAGTACTATTTTCCTAATACATATGGCGGCCAACGTCTCACAATTCTCGCATTCAGTGCTACCTTCGGTTGTGGTTTGTAGCTCTAGTCCAGTTCAGTCATTGAGTGCGAGCGTTTGACTGTTCGAGCAACTATTGACGCCATTGCCGCTATTGAAATCAACTATGAACTATTGAGCAACTATTGAAATCGATCGCAATAAGTATTTATTTGTTTGCATTCGTGTAACAAGCAATGGCAGAACTGTACTGTAGAGTAGACACTAGACAGACAACGACACGACAATTTACATTACCCAATACAATTCCCAGTCGACGCTCGACTTTGGATGGAATTGATGTTTACTATTTATTTTATATGTTAGTTAAAATTTTATGAACAGAGTATACTATCGATCAACAAATTTAAAATTAACAAGTGTATCTACAAGAACCATAAATAACCAATAATGAATATTTGCCGTCCAAATAAAGTATACCAACCGATTGTTCGATTTAGGTTAATAGGTTTTAAAAGGTGTAACTGATTAGTCGTCTGTTATTTTTGCCGTGTGTCAATAGTAGTTTACGCAACGATTGCGTTAAGTGAGTCTTTACGACACGAGTAGAAAATTTAAGGCACGAGCCTTAAAAACTTCTACGAGTGTCGTAAAGACTATTAACGCGAGTTGCGTACACTACTTTACCTACGACCGTTTTTTAATTACTATCAATCTGGATTTAATTACTAACAATCACTACTGATAACTTTTTAGAGAGGTTATGTTTTTGTGTATTGTCATTGCCACTGAAAGTGATGCAACGACTTGTTGTATAATCAGCTGATTTCCTGTAATTACGTGTTTGTTAAACTTCGTTAAATATTACATTGCTGGCAGCATTCTTACCATAAATAATATTGTATCAGGTACAATTCGGCAAATATTTCATTTATTTTTGGACTTCCACCAACTTAATTAAGAATACGCGAGTATCAACATGAACAAGTCGGATCAACAATTAAATTGGTCAACTGATCAGCTGATCAGCTGATTAGTTGACGTTCGAAGCATTACAATTTTAATTCTTTTCTCTCAATACTTGAACCTCATTGGTCCGTTACCTGTGTGGATATGAGAAAACTATGCGGATATGAAATGAAACTATGCGGATATGAAAGTAAACAGCTGTAAAGTGAAACTTTTCAATTCTAAGAACTGGACTGAAATGGCTACTTTAAAAAACGGTCGTAGTTAAAAGTAATTACTTAACTTAGTATTTAGTTATACTTATCATTTCCTTCCTATTGATATTAAATTAGGTATGTGATTAAAAGTGTTCTTAGTTTACATTATGAACTTTGTTTATATCTACCTTAAAAACACAGTAGAATAAAAACTTGTAAATATTTATGAACATAAAAAGTAGATAGTTATTTTTTTTATAACTTTCCATTAAATCTTGTCCCGAAAAAAAAAAATCCCATCCCGTGGGAATTAAAATCTTGTCCCGTCTCGTCTCAAAATGAAAAAACTAGTCTCATCCATCACTATGAAAACGGTATCAAAGAAAGCAATCACACTTACCACTGAGATTTTTCTTCCTGCACTTCAACCCACTGGAACATCTGAACTCGTCTTTTGAGTTTGACGGCAGCGATAGTGACTCCATACTCGGGTTCTGTGAGAGGTTCATTGACTTCAATGCGACCTTTCAAGTAAATCAACTTTCCATTATTACCAGAATCAGGTAATCTGTTGAAGCCAACATCTACAATCAATCTTGTTATGTTTTCAAACGTTTCTTGTCACATAACAGAGGATATCTGTAAATAACAAAGGCTTTTAAAAAAAAGTTCTGGTGATGAAGTCTAGAGGCTGAAATACTCTAGCAATGTCTAAATATAACATGTTTGTTGAAGATAAAATAAAAATAAATTAGGTTTGACATTACTTTAAATAACTATGAAGTAACACATTTAAGATTTTCAGTTACCTACATAATTTTTGGCTATACTGGATGAATTAATAAATCCTAGTGTTTGTTTAATCCAGTAGTGGCTGGTGATCATTGGTGGTGGGAGGGCTCTGTATTTTTTAACATTGAAACAAAAGCCTACCATCATTCACTTTTGTCAAAGAATTGATAAACATTTTATAGCTTTAATTTTTAATGTACACACACACTTATTAATTTAAACTTACTAGTAATTGTTTTCAATGCTGTTATTGTATTTAATCTAAACATTTGGGTCTGCGTACTTAAAATAACACTAACAAAATAAACGGTATCAGCATTCTGACACATACTTTCTCCCATAAGTTTGTCAACAACCTTTATTATGTGTAGGCGGTGTAAATATACGGAAATGGGATTTGTACAATTTTGTTCAGAATTTAAAGGACTATAATATACAAAATTTTTATCAAAATTGTTCGGGCCATTTTTGGGAAAATCCGATTTTTCTCTTAACCCTCCGAGTGTTATTTGTCGCTGCAGCGACACATAACACACTTTGTGTCGCTGCAGCGACTCACAAACACTGTTTACGGCGAAGGCTCTATGACTGACAAAATCGGATTGAACTGGATCGAGTTAGGTATCGTTTTATTTTACAGATTCAGAGCTTTCTCCGGAGGTCTGTCTCTAAGCGCTTTTCATTTTAATTCCGAAAATATTGTAGCAGACAGCTGACGTGCGTATTTGTAAACAGCTTGGTTAACCTCGCACCGTTGACTGATGTGTTTTATTACGTTTATCATTGTTTTAGTGTTAAAAATCAAAAGTAGGCCTAGTGATATACGTGGTGCATTATAAGAAGATTTAAGTGATTTTGAAGGGCTGGTTGATGATCCTGAAGAAGTAGGTAGTGATATTGATGTACATTATCAGCCAGATTCCTAGCTATGGTTAGGCTATGCATTCTTAGCTAAACGCTATGTACTGAAATCTGCTTTTTGCCCATAACTTATTTATTTGCAAATCTACTTCCTTATATTATTATATATTTGTAATCCTCATAAAATTTAGAACAAAGTGGCTATTTTCAAATATTTATAGGCCTATAATTTATACAATTTCATTGAGCGCAAACTTATTTTTTTTTGAAAATTTTCCAAAATATTTTTTTTTACTTAAACATTTTTTTTTAAACAAATGTTCCTTATGTTCTATGTAAAATATTGAAGCCCATGATTTTCCAAACAAAATGGTATATAGAACAGTATAATTAACATTGTTTTCAAGCTTCTCAGATCCGTTTTAATAAAACCTTGCAAATGAGCAAAAAATAGGCAGACATTAAGGCCAAAACAAGGGACACTCGGAGGGTTAATTTATGGGGGTTTTATGGGAAAATGACATAATTTACAATAACTTTTGAACCGTAATTTTTACATAAATGGGATTTACAACATAACTCCAAACTCACTCTCGCAAAGAGAACAGCTTCTCAAAAACATTGAAACCCAGTTTAAAAAGGATCGTTTCTATTTTGAACACACAAACCTATTATTTCTACAATACCATAGATATGACCTAAACAAAATAAGTCTTGAAAATAATCTCGTTCTAGGGAAGTACAACTGTACACAAAACCCAAAACATGTTTTTTTTTCATGACAATATATGCAAGAGTATGGGACAACAAGGGGTCAACTAATCCGAGTGGAAAGGGTTAAACAATTTAAACCCTTTAGTTAATATAAATAAGACAAAGTGCATATCTTTCTCAACATATCAGAGTAATAAACAAGCTCAACATAGAAATTTTGATGGAAGGAAAATGTCTAGAAGAACTGCAAAGTTTTAAATTCCTAGGACTTGTATTGGGCAACAATTTAAATTGGAACCTTCATATTGAACATCTTAGCCTTAAGATTTTATCAGGGATTTTTGCTCTGAGAAAAATGTCTAAATTATGTCCTTTGGAAACATTAAAAATAATTTACTTTGCTTTTATTCACTCCTTTGGCATAATTTTATATGGGGCAAGCTCTCAAGAAAATTTGGAACAAATATCATTAAAAAAAGAAGCACTTCATATCATGTTAAACATTCAAGATCGGACAAATTCAGTTAAAGAACAATTTTCAAAACTTGGTATTCTTACTGTTTTTGCCCAATATATCTTTGATTTCATTTGATTTGGCAGAAAATTGGACACGTTGGAGGAATACGAAATATACAGAGCTCATAAAAATAACGACAAAAATGAATTTGTTCTGAATGAAAAACTAAATTTTAGCTCCAACTCGATATTCAATTCTATTATTCCTACCAAAGAAACAGCTGTCCACTGCCTCCGTGATAACAATGATAAGCCTGGATAAACAAATAGCCAGTCTGTCCCCGACCCGCGGCGTGACCGTGTGTTTTGTTCGAGGAGGCCTGCATGTCTAAAGCTTTACGTGTTGTAAATGTATATGTTCCGTGTCGTGTCGTATTTGTGTTACGTGTTACGTGTTTATTTAATTGAACATTGACGAAACCATATGGTGAATAAAAACTTCACTAGTACTCAGCTGAGGATGACAATGTGTCAAAACATGTACTGAAACATGAAATGAAATTCAATGAGCTATTGGCGTAAGTAATCTAGTCTTACAATTTGATTTCATCTTGTTTGTAAAGAATAATTTACCAAAATTCGAGACCTTGGGTTCATGCCACAGCTATAGGACAAGGCACAGACTTAAAATAAGTTTTTCTAATCACAAATTAAAATTCGTTGAAAAAAAACCTTCATATGCTGGGATTAAGTTTTATATCCTTCTACCTAATAATATTTTACAAATTACAGAAAAAAATAAATTTAAAAAACAACTAGAAACTTTTATGTTATCCAAGCCTGTTTATTCCCTCGATGAACTTGTTGGTTGACTGTGTTGTAGATTTGTACCTAAGTTATAAGTTTTTGTATTTTTATTTAGCCTTTTTATATATGGTTAGTTTTAACAATATAATTTAATTGTATAACGCCATTCTTGTGCAACATGTTGTACTCTTGAATAAAGATTATATGACTATGACTACTTAACAAGAGCGTGTGAAGCAAACTACCCAGATTGTGGTGACTGCCCTGATTAGAGTGAGCATGCAACTTTATGGACTCTAGCCCAGAATTCCTATACTAAACATTGCAAATTACGACATGGCACCCTCAGCGTTGTTCGATTGTTCTGCCATAATAGCTACTACATGTATTGGGATTGGGACGGTCTGGCCTCCGACTGCGCTGTCCAATGTAAGCTATGATCAAAAATAAGTCATTACTAAATTGAATTATCTAATTATTTGATATTAATTTTATTGTATATTATTTTAAATACTTGTTTAACTCGATAATGGTGATGTTACTGTAGCCTACTGCTGAACGTATTCAGTGGGTTGCTGCAATGGAGGAAAACAACGATGATGTTTCCTTGACCACGGGATAAATACAAATTTTTGCCACAATTTCAGGAGACAGTGATGATGTCCACATGACCAAGGGAAACGATCACTATAATACTGCAATAGAATTGTCACTAGGCGACAGAGGCGGCAGAGGGGGGGGGGCAAGGGGGGCAGTCGTCACCCCACTTTCCTAGGGAATATTTATCAAATTATAACATATAGGCCTATTTTTTTAAACTAGTCAGTTGTGTAGTAGTTAAATTGACTAGCTACCCTCATACAAATACCTAACATAATTAACAATAAATAACGATAGTATTACCGAATATTTTTAACATGTTTAGGTTTAGAAACTGACACTTAAGCCTCTGAAATTGATGTGTTTTCCACAATAACCCCTAACTCAGACCAACTAACCTAATGAGCTTGTGTCAAATTTCATACGGCAATATATGTCTGTAAACTTTCACAACCAGTTCATTTTTCCTAACCTTTTTAACACATTCGCTGCTGAAAACCTTTAAACAGGCGCTCGCCAATTGCGGCGAGGCCCGGGCGGAGCCCCGACGCGCTAACTGAATCAGCGATCGCTATTGGTATTGAAATATCTCAGTAAGACGAATCACTAAAGAGCAGTGGTGATTGTTCTGCGTTACTCCGAAAGTGGACGTAGTTCACTGAAACACCCAAAGGTAGCAGCACTGCCTGGATCAATAACCAGAGTCTTTGTAATACGGCTCGAATTGAGATATCCCCGAAAACGGGGAAAAAGCATTGCTAGACGGGATTTTACGGGCAATTTTTGTACCAACCTACACCAGAATAAAGCTCGCATTATAAGCTACAGGCTGGTAAAGATTACAACGTTCTCCGGACAATGGCTGAACCACACTGATCCGGCAAACAATACAATGCGCGCTCCCCCACCGGTGGACCCCCCGCTCCTCAGCTGAGACGCGCGGGGTCCACCGGTCGACCCGCCGCATCAAATGTGTTAAGCTTCTGCAATTGTTTTTGACTGTCCTAGTGTCTACTACAATCACTGAACGGTCTTTCAGGGTCTTAAAAGGGATCAAAAACTATTTAAGGAACTCAATGTTCCACAACCATTTATCAAATTTAGCCATCCTGGCTCTAGAAAAAGATACCTCTACCAACATAGAACTTGAAGAATGTGTTGAAGTATTAGCTAGGCATAAACCTAGACATTTAACACTTTTATATAGTAGGTTAGGAATGTCGCTAGAAAACAAAGCACTATAGGTCCATTAATGTCATGCCAATATTACCACAAAGTTTCACTGTTTATATTTTGTAACAGTTTTATTTACTTTGTCTATAATAAACTACATTTTGTGGCAATCAGGCTTTCAGTCTACTTTAATTTTCCGAAGTAGGTCTACACTATTTAAGATCATGTTTATTTTTTGTTTCCGAACCATATCTAGGGATTTTATATAGTGACGCTGTTCACTAGCCTATAGCCTAAAGATAGTTTCAAACAGGCCACTACTACCGTTGAGTATTAGTGTATACTCAATGCTACTACTTAGTGATGTCTCAAAAACTGAGGTAGGTTAAGAGTTATTTATGTACAAACTCAAGACTTACTAAGTTTTATTGAAGATTAAACATATGAACTAAGATTTTTAAAAAGGGTAGGTTGGTAGGTAGGACTTACTAGTACAACAATAGCATGTGACCAATAATTAACTTTCATTATTAAGTGAAAAGTATACACAAGGACATAGCCTTGGTTAGTAAAATTGAATAAAGAATATAATGTTTAAAGAACGTAGTATCAACAATTAATATATTTATATTTCCCCCCCCCCTTCTCAAGCCCAATCACCGCCACTGCTAGGCGATGGCACCGTCGAATTAAGCGAAGAGTCGGACAAGCTGAGGTTGAGTCAGCGGGGTTCTACTGTATTCCACATATTTTACGATATCTCGTGAAAGCAATTAAATCTCGACTGTCTCCTGTGGCTGCAGAAAACTCGCCAACTTCTTTTGCGGTCATGGATATTTTATCACTGTCTCCTGTAACTGTGTGTGCGCCACAGTTTGTTTACACTAGTCTGATCTTTCTGCGGGCCGCTTCCTAGTTCTGCGACAATGTCGCACTGTCGCTTGGTTTTCTTCTATGGAGCAAGTGGGTATGGAGATTTCTATTCTAATGACTTAAAACAACTCTGAATGAGCTAAGGCTGACATGCGTACAACTTCTTACTTACTTCATTTTTTACCAGAATTCCAATACTGAAAATAAGGATGATAATACCGATGCTCCCTCTCATCCAAGAGCCTCGGAGTTCTGATTTGGAGTTGTATCCCATTTCAGTATTCAAACAGTCCTGAAAAATGGTTGATTTAAAAAAACTCTACCTAATGTAAACCTATTAAGCTTAGCAAATTTACTTAGGCCTTGAAATAGAAAAGTAGTCCTACCCTGCTCGTTTTTAAGGTTTTTTTGCGTCCTATTAGGTCCCTAAATAAAAAAATTCATTTAATCACTTAAGAGGAAGTATGAGATTTTTACCTGAGTTAGCAGAGGATAATACTATTGTTCTCGTCTTAGTGTCAGTGTTTCTTTACTCCATACACATGGCCAGCTGTGATTGCCTGGGCACCGTATGTTTCAAATACTTGGTCTGAAGTAGAGGGTTGAAAATAAAGGTAGGCTCACAACAGGACAATTTGCATGTTTTTAAGTGCATTTAACTACCTATGTTACCTTACATGTTTTTGTTGATGAAAAATGATAACAGATAAATATTTATCCAAAGATATGTTTATCAGTGAGATTTGATTAAGGAAAACTGAGACAGTGGTAAATTGATTTAACTTTTAAGTAGTCTGGAATTCATTAATCACTAGGGAATGAAATTAAATGACTGGATGAAATGAAATGACCAACCCTATGACATGGTTAAAGGTCGACTAGTCCCAGCTTGTCATAGTCATACACACAGTGACTTACAGTTACACATCAGTCATGTCACAGTCAAAAAATAATCATATAATGCATTTTCTATTGCGCTATCTACACTCTTCCAATGTAGTTCTGTCAGTCCCTTGTTCGCGTCCGTCAGTTAATTTCAGATTTGTTCTCACCGATATTTTGGGATTGTTCAGATGACTGACGTATGTGTTTAGGGTTAGAAAATAGTTTTTTGTTGTTGTTATTTATATGATTGTGTTTATATTTTACACATTTTGTACTGTTTCTAACAATCAACAAGATGGACGATAAAAATTTGATACTTAGAATATTGAGTTTTTAGTTTGATTCTACGTCTGTCTAGTCTCAAGAGGTCAGAGGCAACCATTTTGGAAGGCCTAAACAGAGTAAGCTTGCTGACCCTAAGAAGGGAAGTGTCAACCCAGCGTTTGCGGTGCTTTTCTTTGCCCCATGACGCAATCGAAGAACATGTGCTGTTTTGTGAAATGCCACAGAAGGGTTGTGGGCTTATTATAGTTGTCGCAGAGGCAGTGTTTATTGCCAATCTGTCTGCAGCTTCATTTCCTTTTATGCCTGAGTGTCCAGGCACCCAGCAGAGCGTAAGATCATTTCTCCTACCCAACTCAGACACAGAAGCAAGGCAGTCCCACAGGAGCCTAGCTGTTGAATTCGTAAGAATTTAGTGCTTTTAATGTTGCTTGACTATCACTGGTCACGGGCGATTCAGGAAACATTTATAACGGATGGGCTTATTTGATAGTGAACCAGCCGGTCTGTAGGCACTGTGATAGGTCAGAAGAGACAGCCGATCACCTGTTCCTTGATTTTGACAAGCTCTCTGATGCTAGAATAATAACTCTTGGTAATTTGGCTAGAGGAAGATATCTTCCCGAGGATGAACTTATTGGGAAGCTACAGGCATTCATTGGAACCTTAACTTGTAAGGTCAACAAGAAAACAATTGTCTGGGGTGCGCAATAATTCGATTTTCGGATGAAGTTCTTTAAGGTCTCGGCCTGCCCCTGTTAGATAAGATAAGATAAGAAGATATTGAGTTTTAATTGAACATTTTTGACTGTGAATAAATTGACAAAGTCTGACTGAAACCAAATGACTGACAGTTGACTGAGAAATTGCGGATGCAACTGAAACTGAACTGTGACTGGTCGGTCACGGAACTCTGACTGGACTGATGTGTGTGAATCGACCTAAAGATGATGTTGAATTTAAATTAAGTTTAATGGATCTTGGTAGAAGGCTAATTCTACATTCAGAACCTAAATAAAATAAAATGGAGATGTCCGTTGGAAATAAATTAATAAATCTAGTCTTACACTGGCAGTGTACCATACAATTAACGCTCCGAGTGTTATTTGTCAATGCTTCGACACATAACACACTTTGTGTAGTGTTTTGTGTCGATGCATCGACTCACAAACACTGTTTATGGCGAAGGCTCGATGACTGACCAAATCGGATTGAACTGGTTCGAGTTAGGTATCGTTTTATTTTTCAGATTCACAGCTTTCTCCGGAGGTCTGTCTCTAAGCGCTTTTCATTTTAATTCCGAAAATATTGTAGCAGACAGCTGACGTGCGTATTTGTAAACAGCTTGGTTAACCTCGCACCGATGACTGATGTGTTTTATTACGTTTATCATTGTTTTAGTGTTAAAAATCAAAAGTAGGCCTAGTGATATACGTGGTGCATTATAAGAAGATTTAAGTGATTTTGAAGGGCTGGTTGATGATCCTGAAGAAGTAGGTAGTGTTATTGATGTAAATTATCAGCCAGATTCCTAGCTATGGTTAGGCTATGCATTCTTAGCTAAACGCTATGTACTGAAATCTGTTTTTTGCCCATAACTTATTTATTTGCAAATCTACTTCCTTATATTATTATATATTTGTAATCCTCATAAAATTTAGAACAAAGTTTCCAAACAAAATGGTATATAGAACAGTATAATTAACATTGTTTTCAAGCTTCTCAGATCCGTTTTGATAAAACCTTGCAAATGAGCAAAAAATAGGCAGACATTAAGGCCAAAACAAGGGACACTCGGAGGGTTAAGGTAGGGGCCTTTCTATTGAGGATGTTTAGCTGTAATTTGTAGGCCTAGTCTAATACGGTTAATAGGGTAGTTAAGTACGGTATGTGTTAACAAACTAGGCCTAGGCTAATTTAGTATTGGGTTGTCAGCTTAATATAGGCTAATGCCCATGATGTAGGCCTAAATATTCACGCATGAAAAATTCACACTAGGCTATAATTTATACTTTACACAGTAATACTAAGTTATATAACTTAAGCTGCGTTACTCACAATTAAGTTTAGTAAGTAAACTTATGCAATTAAGGATGATTAACTTGGAGGTAAACAAAACTTTGTGATTAACTACAAGAATAATATTCGTAGGCCTACTGGAACAATAACAACAGATTAACAAGATAATATCAATCTCAATGATAATTGATAATATTCCAAATGAGACTAATGACAAATGAGGGTTCTTTATCTTTATTTTCTTTTTTTGAATTACACACTAATCAATGACAATGGAATGACAAGTTATTGACAATGAATGACAGTGAGTGACAGTTACCGACAGTGGTGTATAACGGCAGTGCTGCCATCAGTCAGACTCACTGAGCTATAATTCTAACTGGAGGTAGCACTGAATGTCAAAGATGCGTGTCGCCAGCCGCCATGTTTGCGTGAGTCTGGTGTCATAAGAAGCCATATTATTGCTATAACTATTATTATACTTGGCTTAAAATACCTACTTTGTATGGTCGCCATTTCAAAGAAAATTATTAAAGTATTCAAGTATGACAAAAATACTCACTGCTATACCAACCTAGTTATAAGAAGCCATGTCATTGCTATGATAAGAAAACTTACTGCTATACCAACCTAACAAAATCAGCGACACGCTTTTGACAGACTTCCCAATGGCAGTGCTACCTCCAGTTATAATTTTAGCTCAGTGGTCAGACTGTCAGTTCAGTGCCATCTCGACTCTAGAGTCTAGACCTTGTCATTTTACCATTGAGTTTAATCTACACTGACTTTATATCTGTATAGATATAAAGTCGATGATTTTTTTAAAGACAAGCTAAAATTACCCTAACTACTTAAAGGCAAGCTAAAATTGCCCTAACTACTTTAGGTCACCCTACACTTTACCCCAACGGTGTGCGCCAGACCCCAGAACCTATGGTAACAGCAGTAACAGCACGGCTCACGGCTGAGCTGAGCTGAGAGTCTATAAAATTTTGTGTTTATGACATTGACAGTGGCAGTACCAGAGGAGCAGGCAGTACTGAGTGGTACTGAGGTGCACTTAGTTCGTCAACTCGCCGAGGGATGGCGCTGCGCAATCGACTTCATCTAAACCCTCAGTACTTACAAAAAGACTTTGAACTTGGGAAAGTTCTTCAATAATTTAAATCGTACAAAGGTTAACAAACAAATCTGGCTTCAAATTTAAGAAATTAAAGCTACCAATTCAAAAAATAATGACATTTTTCTACGATTTAAAGTCGTTTTAGTTATTAAAAAGCTTCTATAAGTTGGTTCCCACAGTGATTGTCAGAGAGCTGGAGCATCACAACCCCAAACGGCCCAAACTTCCGAAATCGTTATTTGACTTAAAAATTACCAAAAAATATTGTAAACTACTGATTCTTTAACAAGCCGAGATTCGTGTTTCTTACATGAGACCGAAGATTGGCTTAAAAACACGTTCAAATCATTCACCGACAATAAGTGGTAACTAGAACCAATCGAATTGATGTAATATGATCTAAATTACTACGTAAGGTATTTTATGATAAAAACATAATTAGGACCTAATAGTATAAAAAGGTGATGTAGGACCTCCTCTCTGGTAATGCAGTCTCAGAACCAACTCAAAGCAGCAGAGCAATCTCAAAACCCAGATGATTATTGACATGATCCTTCAGATTATTTAGTAAAATACAGACAAAGGTAAAATTTAAAATGATACAAAAACGACATCCACAAAAACCAGATTATACTGATTCTTGTATATTACTCTTAGTCGTTACAAAGCGATCCGATAGTAGGTATGACGTGGCTAGTATGCTTTGCGAGTGGTGAACCAGTGTCCTCCTGGCAGGCAGGGGTATGTTTTATTTTAGTTTTAATGGTGATTTTGCAAGGTATCCCCTGGACCAATGTACTTTTTCATTTGATGCCCCTAGTAGTCGGAAACACCATTCGTTCAAATGTTTATATACGTGTCCTTGAACGCAATAACTCGAGTATTTTTGGCCCGAGTTTTATAAAATTTGGCTTGAAAGTGAAGAGCGGGATAAACTTGAATGAATTTGTGAACCAGCAAGATTGGGTCGGTGGAACTGATTTTTTTTTAAGTTCAGGGGTTTTGAAATTTTCAAATATAATATTTTTTAATCCCCCCCCTCCCTTAAAAGATGGAAATGCTAAAACATGTAGTTTACTTGTTTATGGATATGTTGATAGAATTTGTAAATTTATTTATTCGATCCTATTCTATTAACGTTTGGTAAAAAAACACTTTTTACCTAGCCCGTATCAGCAAACCTAATCAAAGTCAAAGTCCCTTATTAAGCCATATTAACAATACATTGCATTGGCCAAGTCAAGAAATTACTTTTATTATGAAATTAATTAACTACTAAATACATTATATACAAATTGTTTATTTTTTATTTTTAATAATGTTAATAATGTTAGGCAAACATGATCAATCGTAAAATTTCATGTTATTTAAATGGGGAATACATTTCGTCTTGTTTATGGCCATATTTTAGTAAAAATGTAATTACTTTTGGTTGTAGTTTTATTGTAAGGCCTATAATAATTTTTCTTGTTTGTCAGAAAATGTTTATAAAATAGTTTGGCAATTTTCCAAAACAACGTCATCAGGAATATTCTGATCTAATATGTTACATATAAAATCCATATCTTTTTATTCTTAGTGCTCATAATTCTAAGTTTAGATGCCTATGTGTTACTTTAACCTGCCTTGGAAAAGAAAAAACTTAACTTACCATACCATATGATTAAACATAGACGTCACGTCGTGTCACTACTTGCTCACTTCTCTTTACTAGTTTGTCATTGTCTGTTGTGTTGTTCTCCCTGATAGCGTTTATTTAACAAACGTCGTGTACCCGTAATTAACATTAGTCATTCATTTTGACATGTGATGTCTGGCAATATTTGTCGGAAATAAGCTGTACTAATCAGATCTACTGACCATTCTTATTTGTTGAGTTGGCACATAAGTTTATGTATCATAACCAATACCTACTGGAAAAGCTATTTCACAATTATTCACAACGGTGTTAAAAATTAATGTGAAAAGTTGTTGTAAAATGTAGGTATTACAGTTATTAGCAAACGTCAAGAGCCCAATGTAATAAACTGTAAAATCGCCTTTTACTACAATGCCTTTGACAACAAGGACTGTAACTTATTTTTGGTGCTTGCTTTTTGTTGGAGCTTTTGGTGAAAAGCCTTCATATCATGGTAAGTATGCTCTACTGTTGGGATTTTACGTTTTGTAGTTCTAGCATAGGCTTAGCCTAGACTAACTTATATCAGTTAGGCCTAACTAAAAAAAAACAAAAAAACATTGTATTTCTTTATGTGTGCTGCAATACTTAGCCAATTAAATTGTGTACCAAGCTATACGCAGTTAGCTACTCTCACCCATTTTTAAAACAAAATAACGAATACATTTTCAATTAAGTTAGCTTAGCGTTCAATAACCAACTGACCAGTTATTCAGTTATTTTCATCTTTGATGTAAATATGAAAAAGTAATGAATGAAGTAATAAATGAAAAAAAGGCCGTACGGAATAGTAGTTTTAAGCGTTGAAGTTAAGATAAAAATAAGGTTCGTGATATTGCTATTTACTGTGTTATGTTATATAAGTTATTCTGTAACATCTAGTGTTGTGGCTGAGTGGTTACCTACTTGACAAAACTCGGATCAGCTATTAAAAAAATTATTGCATAAGCAGATCTGGACCAGTAAGTTAGTGCATTTTGATTTTAAATTATTACCAGTTATGGCATCCTACACATTTTGACAGCTGAAGCGAGGTAGTGTGAGGCACAACGCACCAGCTACCTAGGTTCGGTCCATCCACCCTGTGCTCCACGCTAGGCTCTGTACACAGAACTAAAAGGTTCTGTAAATACATTTTTGTAGTCCTATATTGAAGTGTGATACAATAAAGAAAGCAGAAAAAAAATATTTAAAAAAACTGTAAATTTCAAATTGCCCTGTTATTCTGATGGAGAAAAGGAAAATGGTCTTAGATTGCTTGTTTATGGAAAGGTCCTTATATGTTGATCAAATTTTGCAAATTTATTTCATCCAAAACTATTCAGTGGCGTCCAAGTACATCGAGCCCCCCCCCCCCCACAGTACATGAAGATGGTGCACCAACCCCCACCAAAACACCACTACCGTACTCATGTTTTATTTGTTTATCTCAGCAAAAGCTGTGATGCGGCAAAATCCAAAAACTCTCGCAAACATATTTTCATTGTTTAGGCCTACATCGGTGGTGGAAACATCGTCATCGTTTTCCGTGATCGCAGCCAAATATTGAATACATCCTGCATTCATGTAAACTTGATCATCGTCTCCCGCAGTCATGGAAACTCGTCATCGTTTTCTGGGATCACCTCGGACAATGTCACCTTTTTCCACATAGTGCAAACATCTTAGATATCTTCTTCGGTCTTGTAGACATCATGTTTGTCTCCCGTGGTCACGGAAACAACGTAATCTTTTCTTCGAGATTGCAGGCAAAATCATGATTATCTTCTTCGGCATTGAAGACATCATCATCCTCTCCTGCGGTCACGGAAACAACGTAACCTTTATCCACGATTGCGGTGAGTAGTGACAGTCGGACCTCTGTGCCTCAAAGACCTGGGCGACACTGATACTAGTAACATTTAGTTGAAAAACACTTTTTCCCTTCCCACTTCACTTACATAATGGTGATAGGCTATTTCAACTTCATTCTAAACTGCTGTTCTCTGGGGTTTTAAATAAAATACCTTTACTCCTTTACAGTTCCTCAGTATTTAGTTTTTTCACCTCCTGCCAATTTTTTCCTTACGTTTTAAATTTTAAATAATTTAAGGTGTAAACCAAAAGGGATATTTAGATATTTATTCTTCTTAAAGCAACAGGATTTATCAAGTAGGTCTATACAATAAATTTTGCCGTAAAAACAATCAAGAGCTTCCACTTGTGAATTGTAAATTCAGCCTGTTGTACATCTTTATATATTTGTAGAAAATTGGCTTGTCTGTTACAAAATCTGTTACAAAAATCTGTTACAAAACTACAACACTGTTGACCTTGACCGACCAGAACAAAAGTATACAAACAATTACCGGTAGCCTATCTATAAAGCCAGATGATAAGAATCTTCATTAACTAGTCGTGCTTCTTTCCGTAGACTATCATGACAAACGACAACTACTTATCTATATAGGCCTATTAATAGAAAAACATTTTAAATCCCACCTATTACACTACCGTACCACTGCACGCCAAAAAAAAAAAACACAGGGTCACAGGAAGGTAATTCAATTTATGCTATTGAAATTATCAGCAACACAAAACTAAGGCTCGTGTGCAAACACACGCACACATACTTCCGTAACATTGGAACCAGTGGCGTATCCAGGGAGGGAGCCCAAGGGGGCCCCCCGAATTGTTGACGTTGAATGCTGGATATTGTTTAAAATTATAGCTTTATACGGTACACAATGTACACACGGGAGCGTTACAACGCGCGTCCTAGAAACACAGTCAAATGAGTGTGTACACACTAGGACATCTAGTGTTTAGAGTAAAATCTACATTAGCAACTTCCTGGATAACCTCTTTCCTATGTACAGAATTAATATCTTTCTAACATTACAATTTTTTAATTTGCTTATTAGTATACAATTGGTTATGCTATGGTGTTAATAAATGTGTAAAACTCATTCAAATCAGGCAGTTTTAAGTTGTTTTAATGATAAATAGTTTTTTTTTTTAAACTTACATAACATGTTCCTTAATTAATCTGAACTTTTCTAGACTATTAACTTTATGATCAAAAGTATTATTTGATATTATTGATCAGGAGAAAATGCTTATTTATATGTCTATTTTAAATTACAATTTTATTCAGATCTTGAACAAAGTTATTGTTTTTATTAGAAGCATAGTTTTGTGAATCATCGTCCAACCAGACATACGAGAGGGGGAGGGGAGCAGATAAGCAAGCCCTGCGTTGCCAGTTAGTGCAAATCTCAAGTGAAAAATTATATAATGTACTGTAAAATGCTGTACTTCTTAACTCATCTGAAAATGTATTGTTTTGTACTCTGCCTTTGTTGTATTCTATTAGTATCATCAAAGATTACACATGCTAAGCAAAATTTTGCGTAGCATGTGTAATCTTTGAAAACAAACAGTTTTTATAGTATGTATATTCAAGTTTACTAAGTTACATAAATAACGTGCAACAGAGTATTGGCTTTATAAGTTCCATATTCTTTATTCTACAAGTTGAGTGTAGTTTTGTTAGCTTGGTTTATTTTATTAAAATTACGTCAGGCAGTTTAATAGTAGTTTAGGCATCTTGTTTAAAGATTTCAGAGCAGTAAAAAGTAATTTTTAGTGATAATACACCTAGATTGTTCTCTACTTTAGAGCCTCCAGAGGTGTTATAAACTGTAATTTAGTACCTTAAAATACAAAAAGAAAAATCCCGGGGGAGGACCCCAAGACCCCCCTTCCACAATGGGGGATATTCCATACCCCCCAGACCCCCCGGTTCAGGCCCCCCAAAACAGAATATGCCCCCCCCCAAAAAAACAGAATACGCCCCCCCCAAAACAGAATACGCCCCCCCCCCCAAAACAGACTTACGCCACTGATTCAAACACACAAGAATGTACACAAACCTAACCACACCACATTTCCCTCTCATCCCAACTGGCTGGCTTACATTATTGGGCATAGTTTGAGGTGTTAAAGATTCTATCTCACTCAGATCAATGTCAACTAACTACCCATTTTAAGTTTTTTTTTTATAAGAGCCAATACCTACCTACTGAATTGGAAATTTGAACCTAAATCAGGTAATTTTGGAAATACATAGTTAGCAATTTAAAATGTGCAAGTAAAGTTTATAGGTTTATTCAATCTGGAAACGGATATACCAGTATTAAGAGCATATCGGGTGAAATGGTTACGGTATGGTCGGTGTTAAAAAAGAAATATCAGCTTTATTTTTGAAAATGTATAGGATGAGTGCTCTAACAAATAGTTGTGTAATGTTAAAACTTTGAATTCGTCAAAAAGGATAACTGAGGGATAAGTACAAAGCTTCCAAAGAGCTGCTTTTTTAACCACCTCTGAACCACATTAAGAGGTTGAAAAATCGGTCGGTATGCACCGCCCCAGGCGAGGATGCCGAATTGGAGAATGCAGTGTATATATATGCTTATTAGACGCTGCGTGATAAATCAAACGGTAAAAATCTACTGAGTACTGAGAAGACGTAAATAAATCTTCTCAATTTAGATAACGTTTGATTAAAATGAGTAGACCATTTCAACCGGTGATCAATCCTACACCCAAATATCTTAGCTTAAAAAATATATATAATTTAGTATATCATGTGTTTTTGTACAATTATTGGTAACGGAGAAAATTAAAAAAATTTTTAATTTAAAATTCATATGTTATTCTCATAGAGAATATTGAATGTTGTAGTTTACTTGTTTATGGATACATTTTGATCAAACTTGGCAAATTTATTTATTTTAATATAAGCTATTAATATTTTACTAAAACCACACTTTATTAGTTTCCTTGTAGGTTTAATTAGCAGCAAACCTAGGGTTTGCTGCTAATTAAACCTAATATTATTTCAATAGATTTAATTGAAAATCAATTCAGACAAATGGAAATTCGCTTAGTCGGCAGGTATGTTGCAGCGGGGATATTATATATTGGAACAACTTACCGAGTTTTGAAAAAGTCTGGATGGATACCTTGAAGAATACTGTTGTTAAAAATATACTATAGTAATGGAGATATTTAAGACAGGAAATATTGCCTTTAGCGATTCATCACCATTTACACCAGGGGTGGAGCCACCTTTGAGGCTCCGGACAACTACAGTTATCTCTACTTCAGAGATGGGTTGCAGCGGGATGACTAAATCCAATGTCTTATTTTGAAAGCTACGAACATACGTTTTCTTTAAACTTAGACTATGTAAATCTGTATGAAACTGAAGAGAGATTGGTCGTAGAGTAGCAGCAGCTACTAACAGTTGACAAATTGGGTGGGATGGGTGGATTTTGTTGGAGTTGCACATAAGTCAGGAATTGTAATACTTTTTACTCTATGTATTTACTAAAAACTTTTATTTTTGTATGAGGAATGACGAGATAATCATATACATAGTCAAATGATAACCAATGCAGTTCAAGCGGTTAAACAACACCAACAGTGTCCAAGATATCCTCTATTTTTGTAAGATTTACAATGTCTTCAACCTTTTCAGTTCTTCACTGACATAGGCTTAGTTTGAGTAGAATTGATCAAGAATTGTGAGTCACTACATCCTCAGCAATCATTGATTAGTTATAAACATGAACAAGCTTAACGTATATTTTTTCATCTTGTCGAGCAATAAAACTTTGTTTCAACTATCAAATTTGTCTTTCTTTGCATATTAAAACTAATTCGATACTGTACCAAGCCTTATATCACAGTTTCTAGGATTAAGTTTCATGTTATTTGACAGTTTTCAAATTCACTACCCTCCCTGATGAGTATAAAGCTCTGTCCTGTTTTTAACTTTGTCGATTGATTTGAATCGAAAGATATTACCTGGGGAAAGATTACTAATTTTTACTTCAATCAGTAAAAGCTCAGTACAATTCAGTACTAATCGTTTTGGCCTTTCAGATCTTGACGGGATTAACAAGTATAAAACAGCTAATATATAAGATTAAAATAGAGACAATTTTGGGTTAATCACATTTTTATTCCATAATTATTCAGTCCTAAGCCTTTTCATGTCATTAACTTTTGTTTGCTTTACTTTATTTGAATGTGCACACAAGTCAAGCTGTAAATTTCTTATGTGTTATCTTCTGCCTGCGAGTGTCAAGCTATTTGTTTCTGTCAGAGAACCCTTTTATTTATTTTGTAGTTTGGCTGATTGCATATTCTCTCCAGGTGTAAATGAGCTATAGATGAAGTTATAATGAATGTTAATTGGTACATACTAGTTTTACTAACTTTTAAAACAACTTTTGGTATTAATTAGTAAGTTTTTTTTCACATTTCTCCACTTGTATATTCAGTCTTGTTAGAAAATATTCAAAAATGCCAGTTACTGTGTCCAACTGCATAATGTTTTGATAGGGATAATGAGAATCTCAAAATGTAATAGTAGTTTATATTTTGTCCAAATTTCATTACCAGCCTTGTTGCTTTTAGTTTACAACGTTGGGAGTTTTTTTAATGTAGCGATACTTGCTGTAATCCTTAAACTCTATGATTCCTGTAATATAGAGAAATAGGATGGTGACCAATTTGTACAGATATTAAGATATTGTTTCTTTAATAATAAACCGTAGAGCAACATAATGTACATGATGCTGTCGCTGAGAGCAAGTATATTTAATTTAGTTTGGTATCAATGTCCATCTTGAATAAAATAATGTCATAGATAATTTAAACATAATCTAGTAAAAATGATGTCACATTATCATTGAATTTAATCTTAGTTTAAATTTACCATTCATAAAATATGAAACATTATTTGTATGTATTGTTATAATGACAAAAGATGAATAAAATTGCCTCTATAACATCCTTGCTGCTTGAATTTTGGAATTTATATTGATTGGTGGTACATCATTAACTATAGTCAATGATGGTATACGTCAAGCGAGATTAACATTTTATTAAAATTACTCTTTTTAATTTATGTTTAAAGGAGAGAGAAAATGTGAACTGAGAGTAATAAACTTCCTACAATGTAAAGAAAACGAAGCTTGTGTGAGTGTAGATACAAGGACAATATGTCAATGCAGAACAGATTATGAAAGAAATGACAACGGTGTTTGCCAACCAGTGCCTAAACCATCCAACCCAATTTCATCACCAAATACTGCAGATAAATCAAGTTCAGGTGGATTTGGTAAGTTTAAATCTAAATTTACCTAGTCGGTAGCCTTTATTAAGTCAAAAGATTTTTTTAAGCTAACCTGGTCCAGTTTTGAACCACTTTGTTTTGAAACCCTTTTCAAAGGATTATTTTTAGGATTAATGTGTGATGCAACAAAAAGAAAACATTGCCATGTAGGTGGAAAAGAAATGAAAATTTTTCTCCTAAAATTCGCCAAAATATATTTGAACTTGTACACATTCGCAATGTAAATAAGAATTTGCACACCAGTTTGGATCTGATTGTAGCCTATTATGCAATCAAGTGTGTGGAAGTATTGCTATGAAGTGATATTGATAAACAATGCACTGTGCTTATCTTAGGTGAGTGTTTCAATGAGGATCATAATTAAATGATTTATGATGATGCAAAGGTGAATTTCTTTGTGTAGTTCTATCTGTAAACTGGACTAAATGTTAAAACGTTGGCTAATAAGATTCAAGAAGGTTTTTTAATCCTGAACTATATAGAACTGATTATTAACTAGAGTTTCTTGTAGTGGTATGGTAGAGACTATAATTGCTCTTGTCACAAACATTGATCGAACTACTAAACTGACCTTTGACTTTAAATTTTAAACAATAAACAGCTTATAGTGCTGGCTGCTATCTTAAAGGCCTTATCCAACAACAAACAAACACAACTAAATGATTGTAAACAAGGATATTTGTCATACTGTATAAGGCTTGTAAACCCTAATGTCTCATTTATTGCGGACAAGTTTAATTGATTGTAGTTGTTTCTTTTTTTGAATCTTGGTTGTAACAGATTGTTTTACACTGTTTATTGATAACACAGATGAAATAGGAAACAGCAATTTCTTTAAAAAATTTCTAACTTGTAAAAGTTAGTCAGGGGTCTAATTCAGTTGTTAATACGTTTAAACTCCTGGCTTTCCTGCATACGGTATACAAAAGTTATACAGAACTGCGCCATTTGATTGATTTTATGTCAGATCACTTGTCTTGTCACTAAACAACTCTGAATTTCCCCATGGATGCAGTGTCTCAAGATTCAGAAAAGGGCCTTAAGAATCATCATCTTTAGCGACAGACGGGCTCATAGTAGGCCCCTTTTTGTGAGACTAGGAATACCTACTGTCTTCGGTCATTACGTTCTCCTGTGCCTTCTTCATGTTCGGGATAAACATAGAGACCTTACGTCCCGTGCCATGGTCCATTCCTACAACACCAGGCAGAGAAACATGCTGGATGTTCCCCGCGTTAGGCTCTCTAAGATAGCTGCTACATACCAAATTCATGGGCTTAAGTTCTTTAACAAACTGCCAATGACCATTAGGGGCTGGAAAAGGGGTTATCTCAAGGACAAGCTAATGTCGCTAATGAAAGAGAGAGCCTACCACAGCATCTTTGAGTTCATGAATGATAAGGAAATAGCAAACATGCGGTAGCCATCTTTTCCATCATCCCTGGAAGTCATTTTTAACTTGTATATATATTGTTTTTTTATATCTTAAACGGTTTTAAACGTTGTGAAGTATTTCTTCTTTTGTGCATGTAAAAGAAATGTTTTTATTTTTTGTTGAGACACAATCTATCCCTATTTTGGGTAAAGGATGAAGAAGGACAGGTTAAGTAAGTAAGTATGTAGAGTGCTGACCTGCTGTATGGTCCACAAAGCTCTCATTTCTGAAGAAAAACTCTCCCTTTGGAAGAATTACTCTTTGAGGAGTGCCATACAAAACCGACTCTTTCATTTCCTGAGTTTCTCATAAACTTTTTAGGCTTATCTCCATCAGTAGTCCAAATTACCTCAACATTTCAATTATTTACAGCTGACTTGTTGCAATTCAACATCTTCGGAGCTTGCAACACGTCAAAAACATCAAAATTTAACACGGAACAGTACATTACACACAAAACATTTACATACACGAAACGACACAAAACACGATAGCGCTATCATGACATGATAGGGGTTGTAGGTAGAGGTTGAGGTAGGGTTATAGGTTTCTCATCAAGATGAAGAAAGGACTTCACATATTTCCTGGGTTCTCCAGAAAGTTTTGTTCTTTAGAACAAACATTACTGATATCATTACCTTCGTTGTTATGTCTACATATAATTAATGTTAGTCATTGTTTGTTTGATGTTGGTGCAGGGTTCAAGCTGATCCTATGGCTGATAATGCCTGTCCTACTAGCAGTTTCTATTGGAGGAATCGTCTACACTGGCCGCCAGAAGATGTGGCTCAACAGATTGTACAGGATGCGGGTACGCTCTTACAACAATGTTTTGGTTAGTAGTCAAGAAGAGGACGATCCACCTATAGCATGAGTATTATCTAATGAATTTTTTTTTTATTTATACTTGATTGCCAATGACCAAAAGACCACTTTTGTTTTTACCGATGAATTATATACTATACTAGTCATTATTGAGTGTGTCCTATGAAAGTTGTGTTACCTAAGGCACTTTTCAGTCATTTAATTTTTTGATAAATGAAACGCTGCTATTTTAATACTCATGTGCATATGATCCTTGTATAATTTTGTGGGTAGAGCGAGGCTTTGTTTGCATTTAAATTTGTTATGGTTTGTACACTTGAACAATTCCAAATAGTGTTTTAATTGATCAAATATATTTTATTTTAAAACATAAAAAGTCGGTTGGACTAATAAATAAATATAATTACAGTGTTTTATTGTTTATATACATTTTAATTTTATCTAGATTTAATGAGGATCAAAGTTTTACTGTATTATTTATAATGTTCTTTCTTTTATGCAATTTTAAACTAGGCTAGGCTATTTTATGTTATAGTCCTCCTAACTAAAATGTGCACGTACAATCAGAGAATGTAAAAGAAATAATGATAAATGAATGATCACTAGTTTCCTTAATAGAAACCACATTGTCTAATTTTGTTCAAGGCAGTTTTCTTTTTTCTTTACATTTCAAGATCCTTTAAATGGGATCTCTCACATGGAATGATTGTGATTTTGATGGATTATATATGTCATATTGATATACTTTGAAAGAAAATTCCATATTTCATGCTCAAAAAGAAACTTTGTTTTTATTATTATAACTACCTCAGTTTTATATGGTTCAGATTAACATGTTTTTTATTTAATTTATAAATTTGTAAAATGTTCTTATAATTGTTACGATACTCGTTGCAGGTAAATGTACCTGGTTGAGGGGATTACAATAAACCTAACCAAAATGGTTCAATTAAAAAATAACCTTTGCTGATCATGTAACTTTGAATTATATGTTTAAGAAAGCCTACTTCTCAAATATCATTTGTTTGATAAAAACTAGATATTGTGTATGTTTTTTCTTCTTTAAAATGATGAAAAATATATTACTCTGATTGTTTTACCGGTACCTCCAGCATTAAATGAAAAACTAATTTAAAATACAGGGTGTCCACATTCTGGAAAGTCAGGGATAGTCATGGAAAGTCATGGAAAAAAATTATGGTCATTGAAAGTCATGGAAATAGGCAACAAGTCATGGAAAGTCATGGAAATCCCCAATAATGGATGGATTTCAGGGGACCTTTCAATGCTCTAGTCGGCTGTAACCGCGACTATTGTAGCATTTTTCAGAATTTTTCACAAATGTACGACAATTTCAATTTATACAGTTGTCTTAGTTTATGGGTTTTGAGTTTGTATTAGTTCATTGTTGTACCTATTGTACCCCATTGTTATCTGTTAATACATATTTCAATATTTTCTGTGAAATAACTTGTCTAGGCAGTATTATTTGTGTGTGTACGGTAAATTATAATTTTTGAGTTAAGTTCGTGAGTCATGGAAATCAATGGTTAATGGTCATGGATAGTCATGGAAAGTCAGGGAAATTGATGACAAAATTTCTGTGGACACCCTGAAAATAACTCAATTTGATTACCCTGTAAAATCTCAAGCATAGTATTTCCTAATGGAGCTCAATTCTGTTGCTTAAAAGCAAATGTATCAAAGTTCAATGGTTAAAAGAGAAATGTTGCATAATAGTCTTGAGTACCAAATAATCTAATTAGAATCTTGTGTAAATAAAGGAAAATATTCAGTTAGAGGAATATGACTTAATATGTCAAATCATATTATTCTGTTACCAAACACAAAGTAGGTGTGTAGAATAGAGTCAAAAATATGTACAAATATAAAAAAAAAAATGCTTAAAATATAGTGTCGACAAAAAAAGAACATCCAAATGAATATATGAGCTTAACTATGTGGAGAAAAGACAATATTTTATATATTATTACAATAATATAAACAGTAAATACACATATATTATTTCCAGATAAAAAAAAATCATTTTTAAACATGCTGTTTATAAAGTACCCCTAGCTTAGTTATGAAACTCAAATTTAATGCATATTGTGAATGTATTGTCTTATTACATATGAATAGCACTTCCTTTGCTCTTTGTAACAATAAATTATTCATATTGCTTCTTTAATATTGATGAAACCAAAGACAAGAACTTTGTAAAAATGTTAATATCCATTCAGACGTGTATGTTGTGTTTGTTGGTATCTTTTAATAGGAATAATTAATAACAATTAATTACTGTATAATATATTTTTGAAAATTGTGTACAGAAAATGTTATAGAGCCCATTTAAGTTTTGGATACACTTTTTTCACTTTCAATAGTGGATATGTGTAGCTTAGGTTGTATATTGTGATATTACTTTTAGTTTCAGCTTATGTACAATTGTACATATATATAAATTAATGCTTAGTACTCTATGTAATGTCGAGTTATGTATTTTATGATCGATATGTTTGATTTCAGAGCACAAGGCCTGTATAGGTTAAGGAATTGATGTATTGCGTAGTCTTATCGGTGCATTAAGAAACCCAACCACAGATAAATGTTATTTGTTGGATGACTCCGGAATCTGCTATTGCTGTGTGAAAAGCGTTGTTTCCCTCTTTTGCTATGAAATAGTTTTTACCAGAATGCTGACTTTTGTACAAAGAAATCTGAAGATACCAAGACTATCCTGTAATGTAAATGTGTTTTATAAACAAATATAGATAAATATTATTTTTGTTTGAACTATGTTAAATTAAAATAAACAATGTAGTATATCATCGTGATGGTTTTTTTACCGTATAACACATTTTGGAATAATTTACAAAGAATTATTTACCACATAAAAGTAGTTGACTATTTAATTTGTATTTTGTTATATTTGGTTCCATCGAGAATTCTTATTCAATTACAATTTTAGATGTCCAGAGTTGATTAATTCTAACAGATATCACAAATGGTTCTCTTATTCAGGGTCAATAAACATTATGAACAATGAATACAGCCAAAAGTAGCGTGGTCGAAATGAATCTAGTGGAAGTCCCACTTGGCTCCAAACTGTTGTTTTCATCTTGGTCTCCTGAAGTGTCCTGCTTTTTACCATTCTTCTTCTCCGTTTCAATTTCATTCAAGGTTTCCTCTATAGCCACATTGACTGAGCGTAACAGTTGGAACTTGTGTTTTTCTCCTTCCTGGGTTGTACACAATCCCCTAAAGTCGTCTATATCTAGAGACCAGATCATTACTCCACCCAGTTGTTTCTCCATGGCGAATTTAACCTGAAAGATAAAATAAAGGTGAATGAAATATGTTGTTCTCCGGTACATATTTTTTTAATGTAACATTCTAAAACCTTTTAATTTTTATTGTGAAAGTGCAATGTCTCTGTTCATGTTTAGTATTTATAGTGTAGCTTTGTTGGGAGTCTATAGATGTAACTCATTACGTCTTTTTGAACACATATTTCTGCTCTATAAAGAATACAAAACCAGCTGCCTACTGTCTAGAAATGCAAAAAGTAGTTTATTACTTTTTAAGTTTTGTTTAGGTTAAGGACAAAAGTTGTTGTAAAGGTTTGGTAATTTAATAATTACTAAACAAAATTCAGAAGATTGATGATAGAAAAAAGTATTTAAGTGCACCTCTTAGAAATGAAAGTTTCAAAAAGACATCTTTTAAAATTTGTGACTGTTAGGAACCACTGATTTCATCATGGTTGTTATAAGATAAAGTGATAAGGTGGACTTATTTTCAAAAATGTTAGAACAGAGTAATTTCTCGTAACTAATATGCCATTTTTGGAAATGTTCATCATACAAAACTCTGTCTGACTGAGGTGAAATTTCACTTGATAAAACATACCTTGTGCCTCAAACTCTGAGGATCGTCATATACAATGACTTTTTCTTCACTGACAGCAAACGGAGTTAATGATGCTTCATCCCAAAGCTTTTTCCAAGTAGAGTTAGGTTCACTGAGTTCAGTGCATATCTGTAAAAGGAAACGTCATAGTTAATTACACTAACACTCATTATGTAATTACTGTATCTCAGAATGTAATTTTTTTTTGGGGTGTGCAAGTAGTAAATTTATGAGTTGAGTTTTATTTTACTAGCGAGCTTCAAGTTTTTTTAGTTGATTAATTTTTCAAGTTAAGTGACATTCTTGTGAATACAGGATTGTTTCAAAATATTAAAATAAGACTTCCTAAAACAATTAAATGGGTACTATATTGTTTGTAAAAACAATTTAAAATAAAGCTTCTGCAGACAGTGCATGAATGATACTGCATACCTGGTGTGCTCTTTGATGCATGACATTTTATTTTATAATATACATAGCTTTTGGACTATTGATTAGGGCAATGCTTTCGTAATTTCTTCGTCAGATCTAGGAGGCCGTCCACTTATTTCATTTAAGTCTTGCCTTTGTGGTTTCCAAACCAAGCAATTAATACCATAAAGCAACTTATAAAATAAAAAAAAAAAAAAACTACTTAACCATTGGTGAAGTGTTTATTAAAAACTCTATTAGAACCAATATTTTCAGTTCTTCATGAAGATCCAAGCAATTTATACTTCTCTTCTAAGTTTAAAAAACGTATGTTTTAAGGTCAATTGACAGAGCCATTAAAAAGCTAGATTGTGCTTTTAATTTTGCCATACCATACAAATAAATGATTTCAACTAACTCATTAAAAAAGCTTAACTCTTTAAATTTTCTTAAAAACTCTTGTCGAGCCGAGTTTTTAAATACTTGCCTACTTCACCTAAAAATACTAAGCCACTTGAGTACTTACTCGCACACCTCTAAATTATTGTTTAGATTTAATATGAGCACTAAGCAACAAAATGTTCATCCGGAGCAACTAAATAGTTTTGAACGGAGGATGTCTACAGCAGCTACCAGGCAAAAATCGGGGTTTTCATTTGGGATTTTTGAGGACAGGGACCTTACCAAGTAATTTCGAGGGGTGTATTATATAAAAAATAAAAGTAAATTGTGCAACATCCTACTGGGGAAAGTTTGGTGACGTTTAGCTACACAATCAAATATTTACTTGTGATTACTAGACACATTGTTTGTAGATGACAAAGAAGTTAGTTCGTTGACCTTTAACAGCACAATTCTCAGCCATTTCTAACCTTACTTTTTAAGCTTAAACTCTTGATAAAACAACTCAACACAGATCAGCATACAAATATCTAATAATTTCATTCTTCTTTGGTAAAAATTTAAAAAAAATTCAATAGTTTAGAAAAATTGATACATTCTAAAATTATGGGGACCGGGACCCAACTGAAATAACTGGAACTTAAGCATGAGATTGGAGATATCCGAGAGCTATAGACTATTACATTGCTACAATTTATAGATTTAGTGACAAAAAATACCTCATTAAATCCCATGAAACCGTCCTCTCGAGTGTAAGGACCACTGAAAGCAGCGTTGAGAGATGGAGAACCTAACTTGTCGCTGTTTGGTGATTGCGTCTTGAAAGTTCGGCCGTACATTGGCAAACCCAATACCAGTTTGTGCGGTTCGATTCCATTACGAAGCATGTAATTCACACTGTATTCCTGTAAAATGGTGATAAGAATAATTTTGAGAGTGAAACACTATACCCAACATAACTCTCTTAGACGCATAATGGTCATTCACAGGATACATAGAGTGTATCAGTTGACTGCAGTAAGATATTTGAATTAAATCCTGTCTAATAACAGAGCTATATGATTTTGCACTTCATATATTAGCACAGTGCCATCAAAACGGTGAACTTGTTAGCTGGTGGCTGTGTTGATTTAAATAAATCTTAACAATTATTGCTTGAAATGTATAGGACAATTGTCTTACAAAAACAAAGAAACGTAAGCGTGGAGTGTTTTTGCTCCATTTTGATTAACCAATGTGGGTGCTTTAAGGATTGGCAAATGCTCCTGTTGCAGCACAGTTGTGGAGAAAATTAATTTCCAGTTGCTTTACAGTATATTCTAAAACAGATTCATTTTTAAACTAGTGTAAAAATTAATTACGACACTCTGTTATTGAGTGCTTATGTCTGCAACTACTAGGGAACCATAAGCACCAATTCCATTAAAGATAAAAGACAATAGGGGTGTGCTTTGCAACGGGGTATCATCAGGGATATTCAAATTTAGTACTTTGAAGCTACTTTAGAAAAACAGTCATGGTATCAGTACCTACCCACTGTAGTACATAACACAGTTTCTATAATCAATAGTATCCCCAGTCGTTGTGTAAACAAAAACTATTTTCACAAAATATACAAAGAATTAACTGTCTAAAATTGTAAATGGATACCATTTGAGAAACGTTAACAAAGCAAATTTCAAAATTGTTGTTTTTATTTGAGGTGCCATAGAAATCTATCAGTATTGTTTCTGTAAGTCTTATCCCAGAACATAAGAAATAGTGAATGGGTTATTTTTTGCTTGTTTCAGCTAAGGCAGACAGTCACTCCATTTTAATTTCTCCTTGTATACATAGTTTAGTTTATGGAAGAAGTATTGTTTTTGTCAAATTTTTAGTCTGAGTTTTGGGTGGAAATATCTGTTTTTGGCCCCCCTAAACCCAAAAAAGTTAAAAGCAAAAGTGATGTACGTGTGCGTGTGTACAGACTACACCTGTGGTACGATTATTATGAAATTTTAAAATGTGGATACTAATCCATGGTATCTCTAGGCGTTTGATTTTAATTTGATAATGGTGATTTGTCTGTAAAAACCCATCAAATAAGGGAAGTAATATTTTAACAAAAATAGCTCACACAGTTTTAATTAAATTTAGTGTGTTGTGGTCCTTTTAACTTTAAACAAAATGGTACTTCTCATGCTGTAAAAATTACAGTTGTTGCAATTTTTAGTGATTTTATTGATTATTTTGTACCCACCACAGTGTTGACGTCATCAGAGATGCTGGAGTGTAGCGGGGCGTTTGCTCCGGTCGTGTTATCCCACTTGCCGTGATAGTCGTAGCACATGAGATGTACATGGTCCAGGTATTTGTTCAGCTCTCGTAGGTCATATCCCGTCTCCATAGCATCCTTGCCTGCCCCCAGTGCTGCAGTTAAACTCCAACCCTCTGGTTTCAATGCGCTGTGTAACTCCTAATACATACAAAGAACAATATTTTTAAATAAGTAAATTGCATTGGGTTTTTTTAATTATATTAAAATATAAGTTAATTATTTTTCCACTAGCTTGAGACATTGTCTTGAGTACTACAAATCAATTTTGAACCTGATGTAGTAGGAGTACTGACTGTTAAGTAGCATTTGGATGGGCATTTTACGTGTTGGCCCTGTTATAGGAATATAAACAAAATAGCGTTCCAGCATTATCCAAAATATTAACTATTATACTGTTAACATTTACAAGATAGTAAATATATGTAAAAGATGTTACAATGGCAATGGATTTTGACCAGTCAATTCGGTTATCATCGGGCCTAATCAAAGACTAAGAGAATCAAATTGGCGTCCTTGCTTGGATACTATATTGGTCTCAGGAAGTTTCAGAAACAAACTCCGCTAAGTTACAGCTACGGAAAATACCTAAGTATGGTAAATAAAAGCTATTGTTGGTAACTTTTGTGTAACAATTTGGACAAATTAATAAATCAATTAGTCAACTTTAATTCAGCAGATTTCCGAAAAAAATCTATGATGGTTATAGATTTTGATACAGATTTATTAAATAGAAGGAACAGTCACCATCTTAAAATAATAAAAATTGGTTTCCATTAAGTATTTCTTGATGAAAAAGTTCTTAAGAATAGAGAAATATTTTTATTTTGAAAATTCATATTGATAATGTAAATACCTACAGCTCAATCCGTATTGTACGGTTGAGTAAAAATATCACAAATAATCATTGCCAAGGTTTCAGATCAAAATCCTTTCTTACACAAAGCATTAGGAAACTTGCAGAATCTACTGAACTTCCACATGTCCACATCAAGACAAGAGTCAATCAAGTCAACGAACCCAGAAATGCTGCATACATCACCAGCCATTTAAATTGGGAAGTCGAGAATAAAACTGATATAGGCTTTGGAACTGCTGACAGGTAATGTAAAACTTATATTAGTGTAGGCATCACAGTTCTGGGCTCTTGCAAGGAATTTTATAAAATAAACTAATGTATTAGTGTTAATTAATTTAGTGAGTCGGTGGCTCAGTCGGTAGCGTCGTGGACTTCGGGCCCAAGGCAGCGATGTCGTGGGTTCGGATCCTGGTCACTGCCGATAACATTTTATCAGTACAGTTCACCTTTGTACTGTACTGGCTCACTCCTTGCTTTGCTGTTAACGATCCACGCACGGGCGCTTAGTCTATGTGGACGGGCAAATCCAAGGTTAAAAGAGGCCGCCAACCTCTTAAAAAAAAAAAAAATTGAGTTAATTACAACTAGCTTTTTGATCAAATGATTGAATCGTCTTATTGTTTACCTTAACAAGTTTGACAAAGTTCTCACGATCCTCTGGGGCGCCGCCCCGCTTGGTGGGAAACTCCCAGTCCAAATCAAAGCCATTGAAATCGTGCATCCTGTAAGAATAAACATGGATAATACAGATTTATGGATGTAAAATATTAATGTGGTTCCTGAGAAGAATGGACAATAGAGAAATAATATCCTTGTCAGGAAAAGTATATTATCAACATTATTTATGCTAAACCTCAATCAGACAACAAATCTACTAGTAGCTAATAGTAGCTGCTAGTAGATATGTCAGATGTAGCTGAATTACTTTGCTTGTGTGCTTTATCCAGAGTAGGTTTGTGAGAGATCTTAAATTCTGTCGTCTGTAGGGATGAATAGAGATGTTTTACGACATATTTTTTCCACACAGCCCCAGGTTTTTTCTCTGGGACTAACACCTTTTAAGAACCTCCCTTAAAACATTGCTTAAAAAGGGGGCTGCTGTGGCTGTCGACCTTTCTCTGCAGGAGCAACTACATCTGAGAAGGATCTGGGCGTAGTAGATAAAAGAGCCGTAAGGGTCACCTTAACCTTATCTTTAGTCTTTGTTGTCTGAGGACCTCATTTTTTGGAGAATTTCCCGACATGGAAGACCCATTGTGTTTCTTGGAAGGTGGCGTCAGGCATTAACACCACCTGCAACAAAATTTTCCTCCGTAGCTACCTTGCTCACCAGCGGGCAGGCGAAGACAAAACTAAGGTTATCCTCTAGTTTGGCCATGCCATTTTTGACCACATGGTTAGCTATTTTCTGCACCCAAATAGTGTCCAGCATTGCTTTCATTTTCTCCTCCATGTTAAGGAGCCGAGTTTCTATGCTACTCTCTGCTTCAAGATATTCTTGACGGAGAAGTACCATCCCCATGCTCTACAACCGCATTATTGGTTTGGGGTTCCTCCAACGTGAAGTCCAGATTTGAAGGTACTGGTGAGAAAACTCCTGAAATGGTGTTGAATCAAAATAATGAAAGGACAGATAAAAAATGTTGACCAAGCTAAAGACAAGAAGGAAACATGGCCTCAGTTAAGTTGGGAGCATGAAAGGATAGATTTCCAATTCCTCTTAGTTGCCTTTTACAACAAGCCGGGAAGGCTGCAATCCTATTCTAAACCCGGGAGACTTCATTGGGGAAACTAGCACCTTGATTGGCAAAAAATATGAAAACATGTTCAAAGTCACTAGCAAGCGAGTTTTAGCGAATTTCACTATATAGGGAAGTACCTATTACCGTAGGTGGCACGGTAAGATATAGGCCCGGGACCGATTTACTTTTTCATTTTGATGTCCCCAGAGGCCAAAAACACCATTAGTTCAATTTATATATATATATATATATATGTATATATTATATAGAGTTATATATGTGTCAGAGAACGCGATAACTCGACTAATTTTTGTTCGATTTTAAAGAAACTTTGTTTAAAGGTGTAAGGCAGGATAAACTTGAATGAGTTCGCAAACCAGCATGATTGGATCATGGGAACAGGGTTTTATGGGGTAAAAATTGTTTTTTCTAATTTTTGACCCTCAAAACACAAAATGTTCCCAATTTCTCTCAATGCCTAAGCTTAACAAAACAAATAATTAGTAGTATATAGTATAATAGTTAGTAGTAAATAGTATATCAAAGTGTTTTTGTACGGTTATTGGTAAGGGAGAAAATAAAAAAAGGTATATTTTAAATTCCTTTGTTATTCTTATGGAGAATATTGTAAAATGTTGTAGTTTGCTTCTTTATGGATATATTTTGATCAAACTTGGCAAATTGATTTATTTTATACTAAGCTATTAATATTTAACAAAAAACCACACTTTATTAGTTTCCTTGTAGCAGCAACCCTAGGTATACTCTTTAAACCTATTGTTATTTAAATAGATTTAATTGTCAGACAAAGGGAAATTTGCTAAGTCGGCAGGTTTGCTGCAGTGGGGGTATTTAACAGTAGTGTTGACTTAAATGGCTTTTGGGGAGCGAGCTAGCGTAGTGGTTAGAGCGTAGGACTTAAGTCCCTGAGGTCCCGGGTTCGATCCCCGCCAAGTCACCAATGGATTTTATCCAGGTGATAATGCCGCAACCCCTAGGTCTAGCCTGAAGTAATGTGAAAAACAATCCCAGGCTCGTGCCTAGCGTCCTAGGACAAAAAAAAAATTAAATAGGTAGCTGCAAATGTTTGGTTCACACGTTTTAATTTACTTTTGCACTATTTCTAGTGTCGTCTGGTCAAGGCTTTGAGGTAATTTTTTAAGCAATACAGAAATGTATTAAACCTTCTTTTACCAAATTTATCTTAACGTTAGTTAAGCCCTTTCTCGTGCAGAGACTGTTTATTGTATCTTTGGACCGTAAAAAAAACTAAGTTATCAATACAGTAGACTCCCTCTTATCCGGACACCTTTTAACCGGACATCGGTTTGACTGGACTACACTCGGTAGAAGTGACATCTCTTTACCCGGATAATTTTTATCAGCACATCGGTTTAACCGGACTAGATCGGCAGGAAGTGGGCGGTACTGAAACGACTGTTCTCATGGGAAAGATTTGAGACTAGTAATTACGTGTCTAAAATACAATGCTCTCCTAATTTTAAGTCAAATACTGTATAGAGTATGCATTTAAACGGTCTGTTTTAACGAGATTTTGGGGACGTCGGTATAACCAGAAAACCCGTTATCCGGACTGGCCTCGGTCCCGGCTTTAACCGGATTATTTTTCTTTTTTCATGAGAATGAATTTCTTACAGTAAATGCAATATTTACAAAAAAAAACCTCTTTAATAAACTTGTAATTTTACAATAAAACTGGAGGAAAATCACATCTAAGCTAAATAAATTTTTGGAACAATATTTAACAATATTAACTTACAATTAATAAATCTAATTAATATTTATCATTTAGATTTACCTTAGAAATCTTACAACACTGTCAACAAACAGACGTCTTCGCTCGTAATCTGCCGCCAGTTTGGAGTAGTTTGAAGAACCTTCATTCCAACCACCAATTGCGATGCTCACAGTTAAATGAGGATATTTCTTTCTTAGTTCAGTCATCTTTTTATAGGAACCTAAACACAAAAAGATATTTCATTATTATTACAAAATAATGTTAGCAAAAGTTGAATTCCTTCAAAGTTGTTCTTTAAACGTTGAAACATTATCACTTTTAACCTGAATGAGCAGAATTAGTTTAACCTAAAAAAGTTTACAGTTTTCAGAATCTTGAAACTTTTTTTGAGATTGCAATTAAGAGGAAGCCTATGTTAGAAAAGTTTCTCTATTTATCATGTTTTGTCTTTTTAATGAGGCAACTTTGAACAGACCCAACTGCAGATCAGCCATTAACTTTCACTTATTTATAGGTGAAACATCATTCATATTTTCTTCTTTCTATTACGATGTAAGCAGAAACTTCTCACAAAATACTAGCATCTATGTGGTTTAATATACAGGGTTGGGCAAATGTGTGGATACCCCTAGTTAACTTTTTAACGCGTTGCAATAGGAAAACCAAACTCGGCACATATTTCCAACATAAGAAATTGCACTTTTTCATCAAAGTTACAACTTTGCCCAAGCCCCCAAAATGGGGTATTTTGGGGGCAGCCCCAAATTTTCAAATGTAAACACCTATCATGTGACCCATCATTTTAAAGGGTTTATCAAGGGAAATTGAATGGCGCAAACCAGAGGTCAATATTCCACGCCTAATCAAAATGGCAGCCATTTTAATTATTTAAGATGAGCAATCATGATAAAGTCTAGACACCCCCAGTTAACTTTAAAAATTAAATATTTTAATACTGACCAAAAGTTGAATTCTCTTTTTTCATAAAGGTATGCTGAGTTTAGTTTTCCTGCTATAACCTGTTAAAAAATTAATAGGGGATATTCCAAAATGACCGCCATTTTGATTAGGGATGCGATTTTGACCTCTAGTTTGCGCCATTTAATTTGTCTTGATAAACCATTTAAAATGAGGGGTCACATGATAGGTGTTTACTTTTAAAAATTTGGGGCTGCCCCCAAAATACCCCATTTTGGGGGCCGGGTACAAGTTCTAACTTTAATGAAAAAGTGCATTTTTTTATGTTGTAAACATGTGCCGAGTTTGGTTTTCCCACTGCCACACGTTATAAAGTTAACTGGGGGTGTCCAGACTTATCATGATTGCTCATGTTAAATTAAAATGGCTGCCATTTTGATTAGGCGTGCGATATTGACCTCTGGTTTGCGCCATTCAATTTCTCTTAATAAACCCTTTAAAATGAGGGGTCACATGATAGGTGTTTACATTTGAAAATTTGAGGCTGCCCCCAAAATACCCCATTTTGGGGGCTGGGGCAAAGTTGTAACTTTGATGAAAAAGTGTGATTTCTTATGTTGTAAATATGTGTCAAGTTAGGTTTTCCTATTGCAACGCGTTAAAAAGTTAACTAGGGGTATCCACACATTTGCCCAATCCTGTATAATGTCATATAACATTGTATATATATATATATATATCTCATAATACCCTTAAAAAATAAATAAACTATTTTTAAAAGTCAGCCAGATCCGTTTTTATCAAGCTTATTAATATTGCATTACTCCATTTAGAAAGTTTTGAGGCGATTTTACAAATACAGCGGTTTTTAGGCTCTTATTTCTCTAACTCAAGGTGGTTAATACTGAGGATCTAATGTTTATATTAATGTCTGCCAAATTATAAACAGTCTATGATAAATAAATTAAAATTTCCAACAGATCGCAAAGATCAAGTTCAATTTTTAATGGAGGCTTGAATCGACTGCTTCATATGTAAACAACAGCTGTAGTTGTATGAACAGGTGTAACTGAAGAGTAAAATATATGTAATATGCATCATCTATTTTACTTTACATATACTATCTCAGTTTCTATGTTTGAAACTCATGAGATAGGTTCAAACAAACATGGCATGGTTTTGATTGATTGCTAATACTGTATTGTCTCCATAAAGACTGTAAAATTCAGTTTTATATACGTGAGCATGTGATAGGAGAAAATAACAGCATTGTTCTAAACACTATAGAAGGCTACATATTAAAATGATGGGAACTGTTATAGTGATGCACTACCATCAATTAAATATAATCCTATGGAACAAGCTAAGTGTTAATTAATCATAAATAAATAGCGTCCACAACGTAATGTTGTTATTTGTCTAGTGTTGTTCCCCCATTTACTTGACAATTATTTACACACACTACAAAAAACTACTCTATTTCATTAAATAATGCCCATTGATTCTGAAATTCACTATTGTAACTGGCAGGACAATGGTTTGTAACAATTAATAGTAGAACCTACAGACAATGTTTTTGATTTAGTTAGAAATCACAAATTTCTTACATTACTCTTCTATACTTCTCATTGCTCCAACAACTACACAAAACTCTTTGTACATGAAAAACATGTATTTTTTTATTTTTTATTATTCCAACAACATAATGATGAATAGGTACTTGTTTGACAGTAGACTTGAAAATAATCATGTTGACATTGAGTCATGAGATTAATGGTAACTTATTACAGGAAATACTTCCTATATAATGAAGAGTTACTAACCTTTACCGTAGTTTTCTTGAAGATCGTTGTAAGGATCAAGGCTCCTTATAGAGCTATCAGTCGTGTTAAGCCCTGCGAAGGCGTAAATAAGGTGAGTGCAGAGCGTTGGGTCGATGTCGTCGATGTTAAAAGTTCCATGGCCCGACCTGTATGTCGCCCAGGAGGAAACGTAACACGCCACAACTCGGTCATGATTTGGTCTAGACTCTGAAAATTCATGTAAATCCCATGATATGTATTCTAAATTGATTATTTCAATTACTGTGGAACCTCGATAACAAGTCACCCTTGATCACACGTGTAATTTTCAAATCACCTTGAATTTATTTTGCCCCTAATCACATGCTATTGCAAACCTCATTTAGAAGTCTACCTTGATAACAAGTCTTATTTTAATAATCCCCATAAAAGTCTTATTATCGAGGTTTTACTGTAATATCTGCACAATTATAATTGAAAATGGGTTGAATAAGAACGGTTTTGACTCACTGTTGCCCACTTCAGGTAGTTTAACTTTAACCAGTCTTCTATAAAAATTATATTATACCTTTAAGGGTTTTTTTTTTAAGAGGCACAGTGTTTACGTATCTTAAGTAAAATACCCCACAGTATGAGCCTTATGTGCAAAAATGAATAGCAATTGCCAGTCACCACATAAGTTAGATCAGGTAGGCTAATCCCAGTAAAGGTGTGCTGGGATAATTTCCCTCCATGGGATGCTACCGGGGATAAGCTAAGATGTTTAGTAAAACCACCTCACTTCACTCTTGTATATTCTGCAACCTCTTCTAGTTAAGTTTTAATTTTTACTTAATTTCTCTTCAATCTATCCTCTGAAGATTATCAGAGTTTTAGTACAAATGTGTAAACCTACATTTATTCGAAAAAGTTTGATCACAAACCAGCATATCAGACTATGGGAACGGGGGTTTTGTGGGGGGCTTTAAGGGGTACGTACATATGGTTTTTTCCCAATTCTGATCCTCAAAACATAACATTTTACTATTTCTTTCAAAATAATGTTATAAACCTTAATACAATTATTTATACTGTATATTGAAGACTTGTTGCACGCTTAATGTTTACGGAGAAAATTCCAAATATCTGTAAATTTAAAATTAATATGTTGTTCAGATTGATAATAAGTAATCTGTTTTCCTGTTTGCTTGCTTGTTTCATATTTTGATCAAATTTACAAAATTTGTCTATTTAATTCCAAGCATATTAACATTTAAATCAAAACAACTTTATTATCTTTCCTGTACCAGCAAACCTAAAGACATTAAAATTAATATAATTTAAATAGAAAATAAATCTGACAATTTTAAGGGAACATTTTATTGAAAACCCAACCAGGCAAATGGAAATTTGCTTAGTGTGCAGTTTTGCTATGGAAGGTATTATGCATCCATAAGCCCCTATACTCTCACTTTCTTGGGTATGCTAGCAGAACTAATCAATACCTCAATAAAGGTGTCTTGTTCATCAACATGGCTTTCGCTTAAAAGTATTAATTATTTAGCAATGAGTCATCTTGTTACTAGAAATCATCAATGGTAATCCTTAGATTAAAGATTCGACATTTTTAAATTAGGCTATAATAAAAGTGTGTCTGAAAGCAATGCTCCTACTAGTATGTTTGATTGAAATATTTAAAAATTCCATACGCTTTCAACCATCAGATTTTTTAAAAAAATAACTCTGTTATGATAACATTAGAACTTACAAAAAAATATTTGCTAATACAGTAAAAGAAATATATTTTTTCATAAATAGCAAATGGGACCAAGACCTGAGCCTGAATATCGTTCCAACCTAGAACAGGCCCATTTAGGGACCGACAGTATTCACTCTACACCAAATGTGTTATCATTTCACATGTCAAGATAGTTAATTAGGACAATTTTATAAGATTAGAATTTAAAAGCCAATCGGACAAAGTCCTGAGATTGTTCTGATTCAGACTATTCAATCAGATTACCAGTAATTAATGACTAATCCAGAAGGATCAACCAGAGCTTAAATTGTATACACAATCCCTCAAATCGTCAAGTTTGAAGCACACTATGAATATTATGATTAAGTGTTTCATTTGAACAAACATACTAAGACAATCCAATGATGGGTGCAAACAAGAATGAGAATGGAATTAGAAAGTAAGAGTAATGTATATTAATTTAAAGCATATGAGCTAGGATTTTTGTAATTTTTTTTACAATTGAGGCGGTAGCTGCAAAAAGGGCCTTTATGCCAGAACACTGATTTGAGAAAAACGAGTTCGAAAAAATGTCATTCTTGCATAAATATTGCATTTACTAAGAATCTAACTTGGAATACTTCTCCATATTCTTTAGAACCTGAAGCAAATTTTGTTACCATGGTTTTTTAATAACAATATCAGGCTATTAAGTATTTTATGTTTATGTGAAATCGTGCATGGGCCCTTTTTGCATAGATGCAGTTTTTACATGCCCTTTTTGCATAGACCAATATTTATATGATCTGTTAAAGCATAAAATATGTGTTTTCTTAGGCAATTTCTAACAGTTTGATAAGAAAAATTTAAAATGACATCTTACCGGATCAGTAATTAAAAATAATAAAATCATAGTGTAACCTGTAAGAGAAAAAAAGGTAGGCTGCACAGTAAAATATGAGTCATAGTTGAAAATGTAACACTTTTATTTTACAATAAAAAAAGTGAGTCATAGGCTAGTTGGATATCTAATACTTTTATCTTTCAATGTCTCTACAATTTAATTTAATTTAATAACCTCTGACGTTTTCTAGTATTTCGAGCCCATTCTTCCTTATTTTCACTTTTCTTCTTAGCACCCTTCTTCTTAAAAGTGTCCAAAATAGTAGGTTTAGTAGTTAGCATGATGTTAAAGAATAAAATAAACTGAATATTCCTATTGTTTGGTCACTAACACACTCCAAAACTGAACAAAACAAACATAATAACATTCATAACATACCGGGTGTCCCACGAAGGGGTTTAAACGTTTGATTTTATATTACGTGCCCATTCATGCACCGAACCTTTTTAAACTTTACACAGTTTACAAAGTAGGTTCTAAAAATATTCTGGAAAAATTTCAACTCCCTAACCTTAGTAGAAACAAAATGGCGGCTTATTGACAAATTTACCAATGTGCTTTCTATAAAAACTACTTTCATGATTTATTTTTAGTTATTTATTTATTATTATTATTTATTAGTTATTTGATTTATTTTTAGTTTTCCATTTGGCTATGTTCTAATTTTTTCTTGTTTTAAAGTCATATTGCCCTGGAAAGTAACAATAAAAATATTTTATAAAACCAAAAATACCTTTTTTAATGTTTTAAGTAACTTTTTCAATATGCCGCCATTTTGTTTCTACTAAGGTTAGGGAGTTGAAATTTTTCCAGAATATTTTTAAAACCTACCTTGTAAACTGTGTAAAGTTTCAAAAAGTTCGGTGCATGAATGGGCGCGTAATATAAAATCAAACGTTTAAACCCCTTCGTGGGACACCCTATACATAACATTCAGTGTCATTAACCTCGATCTATGCAAGAAGGGCCTATACACAACTTTCTTATAACAGCTGTACAAAAAAAAATACTTCAGATTAAAATATGAAACTTTGCAGGTATACCAACAAACATGTGTAGAATTGAAAGAAACGTTCTCCTCAAAAAGGGCGGAGGATCCATAGGCCCTTATTGCAACTACCTCCTCAATTATTATAAAAACAATTTATAATACTAATTTGTTTTACCAAGATATACAAAAGCAAAAGTTGTACATTTACTATCTTTATTCATTTTATTTATATATTCAGATTTTAAATTTAAATTGTTCATAGAAATCAAAGTAACAATTAAAAATTTTGGCACTATACCATTTGTATAAGAAAAAGACATTTAAATAGAAAGTAGATAGAGTAGTAATCCTCTTGTAGATACAGTATTCTTTTCCAAAGGACAATTGCCTTAAACGTGACTTGGTTTAGGAAAACCCCCGGTATTGTTTACCTAGCTGATAACAATCATGTTTGTCAAAACAACTTTTACAACTTAACAAAATATTGTTATTTAGGATTTTTACTCATACCTAAAATTATTATTTAAATGTTTACATTACTCGACCTCTTCACAAATATCTAGTACAGCTCATTGTTTCACTTTATCAACACCTTGCATAATGTTAGGAAACCACAAACGTTTCCCTAGTGGGAGTGTTGAGGACAAAGTAGTTTAAAAGCCTTATAAAGTAGTTCAAGATGGCTCCAGGCGTTTTATAACTCACCTCTGTTCGTAGTTGTTAAGGAAAAAGACCGGGTAAACAATACACTAAGGACGCAGGAAACTATATAGACGCGGAACGACATGGTCGTGTCTGCGATTGCGTACCGTACTGGTAGTGCGTAGTCAAAGCGTTATGGCGGACGTCGGCGTAGATGGTTCGGCACCGTTACGTTACAATACCTCCTCCGTGCTCCGTCTGATGTCTGAAGGTTACTTGACTCCCTCCTGTTCCTTCCATTCTACTTTCACACCTTGACGTCACCAGCGGTCAGTGGACCCGTTGTGATTCACCGAATCGGATAAAATAAAAATATTTTATAACATGATTCGATGTACTTATAAGTACACTGTAGTAATTTGTGAATTGTGATATGATAAATGTTTACTGTATACGAAATATTAGACCTGTAGAGAAACACCTAAAATACGATTTAAATACATTAGAGTATCGATGCTAACGAAACCGGCCGCGGTCATGGCGGTTAAACTGAAAGATCGGACAACATGTAAACTAATAAAAATCATCTTAAAACATCAAAAAAAAGGATGTCCAGCTTTGACTAGGACAAACTTTACCAGATTATTCGGGAGGTCAAAACAAGCAAAAAATGCAATAAGCCTACAATATTTTGTGTCCTATCTCAAACTGTTTAGCGTCTGTCTGTCTGTGTGTGCTTCTTACAATAACATCCATTGAGTTATAGCGTTGAAATTCAGCAAGTATATGTTTATCGTTTTACCCACTACCTTTGAGTAAAACATAAATAAAAATTTAAAACCTTTTCAAAATTGTGGCTATTTTGTTTATAGTTTTTAAGACACAATTTTAAAACGGTTATAAATTTTGTATTCATATTTTACACAAACGTAGTGGGCAAAACGGTAAGCATATTTGCTGAATTTCAACGCTATAGCTCAAACCATTATTAAGGAGTTATGAATGTTTTTTTTTTAAACACACACAGTCAAAATAACGCTAAACGGTTTGAGGTAGGACACATGTTGTATTGCTTTGCTTGTTTTGAACTTCCAAATAATCTGGTAAAGTTTGTCCTAGTCAAAGCTGGACACCCAGTATATTTTAACATTGATGACTTTCAAAACACTAGTTTTTTAATTGGATAATATCATTGACTATATAAACCTACAGGTAGTATTTATACAGGTAATATGTATCTATATATACCTACAGGTAGGTACTCTTTATATTAGATTTCTAAGAGTACTCCATTGCTGGAAATGTTTTAACATTTAAGAAATAAAATAAATGTCACTGTATGAAAATTAAAATAATACTAAAATGTTTATTCAGAATACAAATCCTCATAATAGCTATCCTTACTTCTTCCAAACACATTTTTATAACCGTTATTATTGTGCATTGTATTTTGACCCGGGGCCCGGCAACGTCAGATTGATTTCGACCTGCCGATCGCACCAGTCATCCAGGCTAAATCGGAAACTTTTATTAAGTTTAGCTAATTTATAATTTCTTCGCTTGATGCTGTTAGATTTCCTTTTGCGTTAGCGACTGACTATTTAAGTAGTACAATATTTAGTATACAATATTACAATATTTAACACATTTTTCAATTTCTGTCGACTGTCACGTGGTGTCAAGAGTGAAGACACGCTACTGAATGCACTCGGCAAAATGCAAATATACACAACACTGGTACATATGCCATAAGCCAATTATGAATTTAATAAATATTTAATAAAACTCTTCCAAGAAAAGTTGTGACCGAGTCAGAATATAGTGCAGCGCGGGATGCTGATTCGCGCATGACTCATACGTGGCGTTGAGTCATATCATTTTCGGTCGCACTGCGCAGGTGCAGGCGAGGCGCGGACACTGTTCTGGATCGCTCTCAAAGATCAAGGTCAAGGTCGCGATTCTATTTTTGGGTGACGCGATGGTAGAACAAGGAAAACACATGAGATGTTCACTTTTCTCCTTATCCATAGTACAGTATTAAATTTTAGATAATTTATTTTCTTCCCACGTCTTTTTGTATTTATTCACGGTAATACTATTTTAGATTTTGTTTATTATCATTATGATTCAATATTTAACAAGAGTGATATACGTGGTGACAATTAAATCTTAGGACGACTTTATAACTTCAAAACGAAAAGAGACATCGCAACCAAATTTGGCATGTCATTACTGGTAATAGTAAGCTACTTTTTGTGTACATGGTGATCGGATGTCGCCTATGGGGGATGGCCCATAGGGAGTAAGTTGAAAATCTTAAAAGTAAGCATATCTTGATATGTACATCAAGTTGAAGGTCTCGTTGAACTAAAAACAATGCCGCAAACCGGGCCTAAAATGAACAACCGAGTCAAAAATGGCAGCTGTTCAAAGATTTCTTGAATTTGCCATTTTGAATGGCTGCCATCTATTACCAACTCAGTTGTTCTCTTGAGCTCAAATTTGCGGCATTGTTTTTTACAAGGCCTACTAAAGACCTTTAACTCTATGTGCATACCAGGAGGACTCTCTCTTTACGCTTACCTTCGAAGGTGACAATGATTATGTCCCTGTGATCGCGGCCCAGGGGAGATGTTTGATTTCCGCGTGGCCGCGGGTGACATGATGATGCCCCCGTGAAGTTGTGAGAAGATCACGGTTATGCTGCGTTCGCGGGTGTCGGTGATGATAGCCTTAATTTAAGGGAGATTTTCACGCTTCTCTGCGATTGCCGGTCCGGGTGACGATGATGGTGTCTTGATGTTCATGATTGCTCCACGATCGCGGGTGACGATAATGATGTCCCCGTGATTGCGGCCTGCCAGGGATGTTCTCGATTTCTCCACGATCATGAGTGTCGATGATGACGTCCCCTTGATCAACGGTTGATTTTCACGATTTTGCCGCTGTCGCGGGAGTCGATGATTAAGCTGTCCTCTTCAGCGTGGTTGGGCTTACAGCTGCAACAGGCAGGTTCGTTCGTGTATTACGAATTGGGTGTATTATAAATTAACAACCTGCCACAACTGCTGGTAAGGGCAAAATTGTTTGTTTTGGAAGTGACTGTGTTATAAAGCGCTTTCAGATGTGCCGAGGCAGTATGTCCCCAAAAGCACTACCCTCCTACACCCCCTCTACTATAGGGTTAAATTGTGTGCACGTCACAACTGGGTACTCCCAGTGAATGAACTTTTGTATTCATATGGACCATTTGAAGGCCCTGAATTCTCTGCAGTGGTCTACAGAGATGTCTGTCACTTGGTCTGTGGGTATAATCGATTGGTGATGTCATATAATAGATTTCAAAACTGTAGTGTTTACATCACTATGGCCCGTGGTCTGCGTGTACCGTTAACCAAGTGATACCCAGTCAATGTGTAATATTAAAATGTACAACTCGGTCCGTGGTAATGACCAGCGTCCCATATATGCGGCAATTGGTAGCGAACGTGTTAAGAGTAAAGATGAGTGGCTCCCAAGGGTCTGATGGCTTATCCAGAACAGATACTCCAGGCAGGTGCCAGTGGCGTTCCTCACAAATTCAACTGACCATTGTACAGTACAAACAGTATTGCAATTCTACAGTAAATTAGGTCTAATAGTGTCCATTATAAATTAAGCAATGAGAACATCTTGATACAAGAAAAATCACAACTACTGGCTAATTATTTTAATTAACTTGCATAGCCGGGAAAAGAGTAAACGTTACTGGCTTGAAATGTTTCAACAAAAGCTCATAAAATTGTTCATGAGTAAATTCACTAATTTCTTTTGGCTTGCAAATTAGGGACTCTTACCATCCAGATGGTCAATAAATAAATATCTTATAATACGAGTATTATTAATAGTCATGTTGCCCAAAAACAGATTTGCCTTGAATTTAATATTCCAAACATCAATGTCACTTGATTTTGGGTCAAATTTTTCCCATTTTAGTTGACTTACTAACATAGGAGTGTTCAGAGTTGCTTGTAATGTATCTTCAGATATCATAATGAATTATATTGTGAAATGAAGTAAACTATTTTGCACTGCAAGTTTTACATAAATAGCAGTCCCGTCCCTAGTTTCATGCTTAAAGAAAAAAATACATGAATATTTAGGTGAAATCCACTTAATAAAATATAACTGGCCTCATTCATGAGTTAAAACAACTATAATCAAACAATAATAAAGTAAAAAATCTTCTACAATCCAAACAATGTTCAAACATACAATAGCTCTGTCCTCAGCCCTGGTGTTCTTAAACAACACGTACAGCCAACTTTAAGCTTTGTAGGAGCCGTGAAGGTATGGGGGGGGGGGGGTGGGGGGTAGTATCACAATGATTTGTTTTGGTACGGATTGATTGATTTGATTGTTTTCATGCAAAACGTTATTTGACAGCACAAAATTAATTTAAATTGTTATATAACCACATTGTAAAAATAATAAATATATTTAGATTAGACTTTATGTAGGTGGTACCACTGGATGCTTGTTTATAGTGTTGTTAACAAGTATACTTCATCATATTCCTTAGATTATTATTGCATTATTGCACAGATTGTGATTATGACAGGATGCGGAATTAAATAAGGATTTTAGGCTCTGATTTAAAAATTTTCTCTCTGCATTCCAGATATAAATCAATAACAATGTTAAGTAAATGGTTTATTATTGTTGTTAGAAAATGATTAAAAAAATTAGAGGGACGTGACTTTTTATATTTTTTATAAAATATATTTTATATTTTACACTAGACACTTAAACCAAAAGGAAACAAAACTCAAATATTATAAACAGTTGTAATGGAAGTTCGGTTCTTAAAATTGAAACACAAAACCCATATCGGTTCAAAAATCAAGTTGACAAACATCCTGTCCAATGGCTTCACTGCTTTGGTAACTCTGCATCCGCTCATCAAAGAGAGAGACGGAAGACAATCTGCGATCCACGCACTTTTTGGACAACCAATCATCAAGTCCACATGGACTGTCTTGACCAATGAGAGCTGAAGGCAGTAAAATTCAGCAAAGAAACTAGGGGGTCATTGAGACAGTCTCCTAGTTGCTATCGGATCGGTTGCTCATTCTTGCCTTGAAGTTCCAGTTCAGTCATGAGTGTATGTGATAGTGTTTTTTAAAACGTCCTGTTGCCTTTTAAGGCAGATTGAATTTTATTAAGTGTAGTCTAAAGTACAGTGGAAATCTCATAAAAATATGTATGTCATGTT